GCTGACGGAGGACTGGAGTCATGTGAGCATAACGCCCCATCCCCGTCAGCTTCACTGGCTTCCCATTGAAGCCCGGGCCCAATTCAAGGTGTTGCTGATGACCTATAAAGCCCTAAACAGCTTGGGTCCTGGCTACCTGAACGAGTGCTTACGTCCGTATATGCCCGACCGCCCCTTGAGATCTGCGGGAGAGGCCCTTCTCTGGGAACCCTCCGTGAAGGAAATTAGGAGAGTAAGTACCCAGAGGAGGGCTTTCTCTGCGGTGGCGCCCAATCTATGGAATGCGCTCCCCAAAGAGGTCCGCCTGGCACCGTCGTTACTGGTTTTTCAGCGCCAGGTAAAGACCTTTTTATTTAAACATCATTTTGTTAAAATATATGATCTGGCCAGGGCAACTTCTTCCTTCTCTTTTCTCCTCCTATATTCTTTATCTACTTACTTTATACTGTTAATGTTAATGTTATATTATTATGTTTGTATCTCAATGTATTTTTTTTGTATTTATTGGTAATTTATTATGTTCTATTGTATTTCAATGTATTTTATTGTGTTGTAAGCCGCCCCGAGGCTTCAGCAAGGGGCGGCATAGAAATGTTATAATAATAATAATAATAATAATAATAATAATAATAATAATAATGAGATATTCCTATGCTAAGTAGCATACCACTATTACCAGTGTTCATGTTTTTATAGCATTGGAAGCCACGCCATAAGAGCAGTGTGCCTTGAACTCAAAAATCTTTAATAAAAATAAAAAGCAAGAAAAAATTCTGTATGTCCAGAGATATATTAAAAAATCTATAAATTTTACAAAATAAAATTTTATAAAAAATCTATAGATCTCTATATAAAATTTGATATTAGGAATTTCATTTCCATCTGTGTGTTTGCAGAAAAATGAAAGCACTGTTTCACTTGACGCGACACCCATTAACACTTCCACACTGTTTTCATGTAAGTTTGTTCCTTTTATTGGAAAATATCATCATTTTAGAAAATGGCAGTTTATATAAGGGAAAGATGATATTTTTTCTGCAAGAATAAAGCATTAAATGGGATAAAGAAGAGATGACGGGGATTTTCAAACTTTTGCTTTTAAAAAACCCTTTTGATGTTGTTTTGCTCTGGCAGATTATCTTACTGCCTTTTCCGCATGGTTTCTCCCCACAACTCGATTTCTTCTCCATTCTTGAAAACACTTAGTTTAAAAATCCCTTTCCTTCATTTGATAATTACAAAAGAAAACATGGTTGACAAAGGACAAAATTGGACTATTAACACACTGTCCTGAATTTGCAACATAAAAATTAACAAAGGATTCCTTCCTTGGTAGGAAACTGAGACCAAAAAAAGGTATTCTGTTGAACTGAATGGTGCTGAGCTGCCTTACGATGTAATGTGAGGAGAGAAAAGCTAATCAGAGCTAAGCCTCCGCCTCCATCTGATGCCCTCTAGATATGCTGGGCTGGAACACCCGCAATCCCCAGTGGCCATGCTGTCTGGGAATGATGGGAGTTCCAGTCCTTCGTTTCTGGAGGGCACCAGGTTGCATTGGATTGTTCTACAGCATGATTCTCACAGGAGAATCCTTGGCAGATCTATCCTCATGGAAGCCCTGACAAAGCATATCCGGACACTGACCTAAAGCAAGGCAAAGCCAATGCAAACTCAATGCTGGCCTCTGTTTGGCAGGACCTAGATTAAAATCCCATCTTCTCTTGAGGAAGAGATCGGGAAGGAGAGTGGGACTGGACGGGGGACCTTGGACAAAAACAGAGGCGGAGTTCATTACTAGTTTGCTTTATTGGCTTAAACTCAGCGTGAGCCCAGCGGGAAGGCGGGCACGCGATGAGGCCTACTTAATTTTTCTTTCTGTGAGCAGGCTGTCGTGAAGCTTGGAGACGTCTGGCTCAAAGGCATCCATGACTAAAGTGCCGTTGCAGTCAAAGAATTTGGCGATGGATTTGGTGAACTCCGCTTCCCTCTGCTGTTTGGTTCTGCCACTGATGAACACCATTTTCAGGGTGTATTTGTCGTCAAATCTGGAGAGGAGTTGCAGAAACAGAAAAGCCAGAACACGTGTCAGATCAGGCATCAGACTTCTTTGCAGACCTGGCACTCCTAAATAGTCCCATCTGAACTCTGGAGCCGCAGGGAAGGGTGGCGCACCTTCACACACGGAAACTTGACAGGAAGAAACAAAAGCATGCTCTTTGGAGTTTTAGCTCGGGGGGTAACATGCAGCTCACGGTGCCCTCCCACCAACGGTAAAAGATGGCATCCACACTGCATATTTTTGGGACTTTTTGAATGTTTTTGTGCTATCGCTACGACAAAGCACCAAAACCATCAAATCTGTGTCAGTTGCAAACTAATATTCCCCTTATCTTCTCAGGAGCGAGCATGAGTCAGTGTGGCATCGGACTGGGACCCGGGCAAGCTGAGTTCTAATCCCTGCTCACCCATGGAGCCACCTGGATGACTCTGGGCCAGCCACAGACTCTCACAGGGTTGTTGTTGTATGGATAAGATTGAGCGGAGGAGGAGGAGGAGGAGAATGCTGTAAGCCACTTTGAGCTTGGTCTAAGAAAGAAGTGGGATACAGATCAAATAAATCAATGTTCCTGCGCCAAAGCCCGCCCCCTCGGAAGCAAAGGCATGTCCCCATTATGAGGAATCTGCCCTTTGCACTGCCCCAGGAGCAACACTTGCCTGCCAACCCCCCCCCCCCAAGGAGGCCGGTGCCAAAGTTCTGTGGACCTTTTGGGGATGCTCCGGCTGGAAAGAGGCAGGAGGATGGAAGCATGACTGGGCGCCATGCACCGAAAGGCACGCGTTCTGTGGCCTGGGGAAACTCTGCCAGCTGAGCACATCAGCAGCACACCTGTGCACTGCAGGCCTTGTGGCTAGTGGGAAACACACGTCCCAGGAGCCCCACTTCCTGACTGCTGGCAACGGTGGTCCGCAACCCTCTCGGGCTGATGGGATTTCAGGAGACACGACCTGTGCATCCTCAGTCCGAAGTGCACAGACACACTAGCTAAACGCTTGCATCGCCTTTTCGGCAAATGCACACAGAGTGTCTTTTGCACCCAAAACTCAACCGAGCTGCAGAGAGCAAGGGCAGCGACGGGGGGAATAGGCACAGCCCTGGAACGCCGGGGAGGCGACGGGGTGGGCTGTGGGGCAGCGGGTACCTTTTCAGACTTGAGGAGAGCTGCCAGATGTCATCAGGATCCATCCCTGCTGGATCTTTTCTATGTGCTACCAGAAAGATGCTCTTCTCCTTATACGAGGTGTAGATGGTCAGAATCCCCATCATAACAAAATACGTTGGGGAGCGTTAAGGAAAGCCCCAGTGTGGCAGCGGACGGGGCTCCCGGGAACAGAAAAGATGCGCTTCGATAATGCAAAGCCAAGCTTCGGCACCTCCACCCCAGGGCGGGATCCAGCCTTTGGGGGTCCCAATTTGACCCCAGGGGCTCCCCTTCCCTTAGCCCCACCCTTCCCCCTTGTCACCTGCTGCGTGGTGCTTTGCCGATTTTTGCGCAACATTTCCCCCGATTCTGAGAGAATGAAGTGTCACGATTCTATGAAATTGATCTTCCAGCTGACGGGAACCCTACTGAACATGCCCAACAGGGGTATGGGATCCAAAATACTGCATAAAAGCTGCACACACATCTGATAGGCGGATGATTTCTAAAAAGCAATTCTAAGCTACAGAACACGAACGCCTGATCCACCAAAGTCCCCATAAAGATCTGGAAAACCACTAGGGGGCACCTGCCAATTATTATTATTACATTTTTTATACTGCCCATAGCCAAAGCTCTCTAGGCAGTTGACAGCAATAATCATAGAATCATACACTCAGGTCACCCATCCCACTTCTGCCCAGGCCTGACCCTGCTTAGCTTCCAAGATTAGGCAGGATCAGGCACTTCAGGCTACTTGTGCCATGCATGCAATATACTGGAACTGTGATTAGCTCACAGTTTAACTTGACTTAATACAATTTATAGTTCCTGGACATACATCTGAACAGGAAAGCCGATCTCAACTTGTATCTGCACCTCAGAGATATCTGCAAGGCAGCTTGCAAATAAAACAACGTGCAATTTTTTTTGCCTTACAGAAATAGGCCCACATAAACGCAATTATTGTGGAGGAATCCCTTGCAACATGGCACACATTTGGATACGTGCACACGAAAGTGCACGCCATTTAAGAGTGTGCACAAAATGTGCCTCAGTTTTGGGCAGTTCATCTCTAGCATATACCCAAGTTTTAAAAGTGTACCTATTAAAGTGCAACTTCATACTCTATTCCTTAAGGTATACCAGCATTGGGATTATAATGATGATGTGCAATGTGTTTCAGTGATGTGGGAAAGGGAAAGGAATATTTTAATGTGCACTGTTTGCCCTGAATCTGCTGCCATTCAATTTCTCTGCGTGGCATGAAATTCGGGTATTTCAGCATCGCTGCTCCTTGTGCCTTCCAGATGTGTGGGACCGCAACTCACACAAATCCCAGCCAGCGTGGCCAATGGCGACCCACCACAACTGACTAGGCTGGGAAAGGCTGCCGTATTCTGGAGAAGAAAAATGCTCTCTCCACCTTTTTATTTAAACGTCATTTTAATTGTTAACAATATTTACTTATTTATCTGGCCAGGGCGACTTCTTTTCTTTTCTTGTATTTTTTTAATTTATTTTATATGATTAATTTTAATTTTATATTGTTATTTTTGTATTGTATTGTATTTTATTGTGTTGTAAGCCGCCCCGAGGCTTCGGCAAGGGGCGGCATAGAAATGTTCTAATAATAATAATAATAATCTTCTGTGTAGCAGGCACATTTTTAAAATAAACCTGTTATCTTGGTTTTGAAACCAAACGGTCTGATCATTTCAGTAGCCCTTTTCCATACCTAAACCCAGCTTTGTAATGTCATTCGGGATATGGGGCATCCCACTCAGAACATGGCGCTATGATACTGCCAGCTGTGCTTTCAGCCTCTTGCACAAGCAACCTTAGCGTGGCATTTGTTACATTAAGTTACCCCTCTCCAAGGCTTTGAGTCAACCCTGTTGCTTGAATTCACCCCACCCCCTGCTAAACGCAAGGACATGAGGCTGTGCTAGATGGAAAGGCATTTTGCAAATGCTCCAGCCATTTTACTTTCTACCTTGCTGCTTTTTGGACTCAAAGAAATTCCACAGCTTAAAAAAACAGCAAAGGAAAAATATAAAAAAAATATCATAAGCTTTCTTTGCACCTGACAAACACAGACATGAGATGGCAGTCCAATGTTTCTGCCAGAGGCTACTTTGATAATACCCCCCTCCCCTACCCCAAGAGTCAGCTGCATTTGATTTTGGCAACAAAGCCAGAACTAGACTTTCAGAAGTCTGCAACCTCCGGAAAAGGATATGATATAACACACACTGCAAGGACTGGCTTGGATTCGGGGAAGGGGTGAAGATAATCCCATATTAGAGCCACAATGGCAAAGAGGCAGGAGATTGTACAAATGATGAGGCGGCCGTCGATCAGGCAGAAGTTCTCTACATACTTATATTTTTCCAGGAGGACCTAGCAGAGGAAGAAGCAAAGACAAATGCATGTGCGTACACACCGAAGAGCAAACCTCATAAAGACCTGCTATGCAAGGCATGCCTCTTAGTCCTACGCTTGATTTATGGCAAACAACGGCCTGAGTTATTCATCAGCTGCATGAAACCCTCTCATGGCCCGATGTTGCATTTGCTTCCTCCCAGATCACGATGCCTGGGGCTGCCCCCCCCCCCACTTTGCAAGGAGTTCTGAAGGCACACAGTGTGCCTTGGAAAAGCAGGGCAAGCACATTTGATGATTCCCCAGCCTCCTTCCAAACTGCACTTCAAGCCTGGGAAGCAAGGCTGGACTGTCATGCTCCCCCTCATGAGCAAATCTGAGGGACTCCATGGATTGTGAGGGTCCATGCCAGGGACAAAGCATCTCAAATTTCTGAACTAGTCTGGCATATTGGTAAGTATGTTGGACTGGGCCAGCTGCTGACTTCCAGCCTAACCTACCTTACAGGGTTGCTGTGAGGATAAAATAGAGAGGATTTTGCAGGCCAAGTTGGGTTCCTTCCAGCAGGCAAATAAGCAGACAGAAACATGCTAATAAATTAAGGAAGAGGAGATGCTGTGGTGGAGGTCGTTGGGGAGGGCAAGAAAAGGGCCCAGTAATAGGACCAAGGGGTCGCAGTGGGTCGGATGTGACTTTGCAACCAGCAACAACAATGGGAATAAACAGAAATCTGTCGAGGACGTTCTGAGCTGACTAGTGAGGAGGCCAACAAGGAGAGCTTCAGTGATGATGTGACAGGAGACCAGAATGTGAACAAAATACTAACCTATCTGAAAAGGAAGGGAAAAATGGTACCTTTTTGGCGGAATCATCCAAAGAATTCTTCACGGCCGAGCCATCCCACTTGTCCACTTTGACAGGTTTGTCGTCGATTTTCCACTGCAAGTCCAAGAAGCAAGGGAAGCCTCATCAGAAAGCGCCCCTCCTTGTACAGATGCAACTGCTGGGCATCTTGCTGGTCTGGAGCGGGAAGGCGCCTGGCTCTTTCTCTAGAGCAGCTGGCGCACCCGGCAGCCCCCCGTCCCGGAAGCCAGACCCCCTCGGCAGCAGGCAAGCGGCCTCGTGAGCCTTTGGGGCAAGCTCCCTCAGGGGAATGCAGCCGGGAGCAGCATCTAGAATACAATACCTCGCCTTGCGACACGCCAGGCCACTGGTCTACCTAGCCCGGTACTGTCAACGCTGCCTGGCAGCAACTCACGGTGGTTTCAGGCGGGATTCTTCCCAAACGCCACCTAGCAACACTGGGGAATGACCCGGAGGGCTTCCCCCAGGCAAAAGAGGCACCCCACCACTGGGCGGTGGCGCTTCCGCTGCTTGGACCGACTCAGCTGGCGGAACATGTGTGTTAAGGGCCTGCGCAATGCACGTCTGCAGCCAGCTTCCTGTTACCTGCCACAAGCCTAAAATGGGGCCACATAATTGAAAAGATCCATCCCTCAGATAAGGGATAAGATCCATCCCTCTCCTACAAGGAAGGAGACAATAAGCTTTCTTTTGGCTCATAACAGACAGTCCGTGTGGTTCAGTGATTAGAATGTCGGACTGGGGACCCAGCAGATCTGGGTTCTAGCCCCATGAAGTGCACTAGGTCAATTGAGGCCAGTCACTCTCATCCTGACCTACCTCACAGGGTTGTTGTTATTGCTGTTGTGGGAATACAGTGACGGTATGTAAAGCCACCTGAGTTCCTCACCAGAAGGAAAAAGGCAAAATATAAATGCAAAGCTGTAATGATAATATAGTATTATGCAGAAGAGCAACACAGAAAGATGCAAAGAAACACACACCACTGCAAAGTGAGATTTGGAGGTGAGTTTTGGGTCAAAAAGTCACCCCTCTATTCTGTCTTACCTCATCAAGAGAAGACCATTTCTTTAAAAAAAAGTTATACTGTAAAGTATATGCACACACGTAAATGCAGGAAAGAGTTGTTAGGTCAGCTGAGGGTAGTTAACCCACAATTAACCTATAAGGTCCAGATTTGGACACCAAATAGACTATTTGGCCCTCGGGGGCGGGGGAGGGGTGAACAGCCATAAAAGCTGCAGCGCACGTCCCGCACGCACCACAGCAAATCATGGGTTAACTAACCGTCCCATCCACTGCCTGTACTTTCAGCGTTTCAGTTCCCCACGTCTTCGCCATTTACTGCATCCCTCCTTTTCCCCAAGCATGCTAGCTGGGGATGATGGGAGTTGCTGGGGAAGGCACCTTTAGCGATCATGGCAGTACCGGCTACTGCTGCCTCCCCTCCGTAAGGAAGGTCCTCCAAGATCAACCAAGCACAGGATCCTTCTTCAGACCCCAGCCAGCCAGCCAGCCTCGAGAAACGGAACAAAAGCAGGCACCGTGGCGCTCCCCCTTCTCCATCAAGCTCGGGGGACGGGGCCCAATGGGCATCCAGAAGGCCCCAGGACCCCCCGGCAGCTCCAGTCTAAAAAATGATCTTGCAGCAGGGGAGCAGAAAGACATTTTTGGCGGGGGCCTTGCAGAGCAGCTGCCAGCCCGAAAAAACGAGAGCCCTATTCATTTCGGCGGGAGCACGCAAGCGGGCTCAGGGCTGGTTGCAACCCACCAGCGGCCAAACGGGCAAGCCGGCTCGGCCCGGGAAAGGCAGCATCCCACGCGGGGTCGGGTGCCCGCGCAAGCCCGAGGGCCCCGGGTGACCGCGGGCCAGGCAGGGGCTCCCAGCCTAACCGCCCCACAAGGCGGAGGCTGTCCTGCGGATACGCGGAGCCACGGGAAGCGCCGCGGGATCCTCCCAGCGGGAAAAAGGGCGGGATGTGAACGCAGCGGAGAGTGAGCAGGACTGTCGCGGACGCTCGTTCGGCCCCACGGCCGGCCCGTTTCCAGGCGCGGGGGCTGCGAGAGCCCGCGCCCCGCGAGCCGGGCCCCTCCCGACGTGGGACAAGGCCCCGCAGCCCCCGCACGGGGAGGGCCGCGCGCGGCAGAGCGCCAGGCCTCGCCCGAGGCGCGACCCCCGGGACTGCGGGGTGGCGGCCCCCGACCCACCGCCGGCCGGCCGGCCGGCCCGCCCGCCTTCACTCAAGGGGGCCCTGCGTCCCCGGAGGCTCTCTCCCCGCTCCGGAAGCGCGCCCGCCGGGAGGCCTCCCGCGGCTACCTTGTCCAGGATCCCGTTCTTGCTCGCGCCGCCCGCGCCGCCGCCGCTGCCCGCGCCCAGCCCGCCGCCGCCGCCTTTCGCCGCCATCTTGCCTCCTTCCCACCGAGCGACCTGTTCGCTGCGGATTGGCTGAGCGCGACAGCGCGGGGGGAGCCCTGCGCACGACACGTCGGGATCGGTAGTTCCGAAAGGGCAGTGGCCCCATGAGGCCTCTGGGAGTGCGGCCGTGACCGCGGCTCGCCGGGAAATGTAGTTCCCAGCTGCTTCTGCGGGCTTCGCGTCCTTGTTGCTATGGCTACCCCGAGGGAAGGCGGGGGCAGTGGGACGATCCGCGATCGCTTGTCAAGAGGGGCAAGAAGGAAGGAGGGAGGGAGGGAAGGAGCGAGCGAGCGAGCGAGCGAGGGAGCGCGCTGGCTCCCGAGGAGACTGACGATCCTGACCTAGCAGGGCGAAGCCAAGGTAACGGGACGCTTTCAAGGAGAAGGAAGGCCAGGGTGCCTTTCTAGCCCGTGGAGGACCTAGAACTCCGTGGTGGTGTTGCGGGGTCCTTAACCCCTTCATACAAACTTCCCCATCCTGGCGTCCTTCAGATGGGTTCGACTACAACTCCCACCATCCCCCAAAGAGAATGCTGGGAATTGGAGCCCAATCCAACTGGAGGGCTCCAAACTGGAAAACTCTCCTCTCATAGATTCCCCCCACCCCAGTCCTAACCTGCCTTCTAGGTTGCCATTAGGTGTTTGGGCTAGGAATGCAAAGACCCGCATAGTTGCTGCCACTCAGCCGACCTTGCAGGGTTTGTTTTTTATAAACCTGAACAAACGGGTGACCTGAGAACCCAGGGTTTGTTGCTGGGTTGTGAACTCCAGCTTGTTTAAACCATGGGTTGTTGTAACATGTGAACCCAGAATCATGGTACAACACAGGTTGTTCCATAGTGGTACAAAGGCTGTAGGCAAGACAGGTTAAAAAAAACGAGCATTTGTACATGTTCCACAATGATATACGACATGCAGAGAGGGAGCAGGCAAGGAGGGTGGGAGCTACACAACCCAAGAATGGACCAGAGAAACAGGGACTTATTTGGTCTTCTGGCAGCCAGATCATGGGTTAACTCTGAGTAAGGCAACAGCCAATAAGTTCACTAAACCATGGGTTGTCCTTACATGTGAACCAGGTAATTGTATGCACATGTGCTGCAGGATCTGTGTGAGTGAGGATAACCCAAGTTTCAGTGTGGAGGGCAAAAGAGTATCCCCCCCCCCCCCCCCCCCATTAGATGTCTGTATTTCCTGAAATGGAGAAATGGGAAGCATTGGCCTATAAAGGGGGAAAGGAAGAGTTTGTCTGTGCTGCTCCCTTTAACCCCAGCTCTGTTCCTATCTGTTCCTAAAAGATGATCGAACTGTAAAAGGCCTTTTAAGAGGTAGTGCTAGGATCCCTCCCTCTGGACACTGTGATGAGATTTTAGAAGCTGACTTTTCTAGTGTTTCTCATGGCATAAATTCCTTCGGGAGTTTGCAGAGCTGCCAACATCCCTGTTTTTCCCAAGACCAGCTCCGTCCAGGCCCAAGGGGGGGGGGGGTACTGACTAGTTGATCGACTTCCAGTGGCAGCCTCTGAGCTTTCCTTGGGGCAGTGCTGCATCGGGGACCAGGCTGGAAGCAACATTGGTGGCTACTGTGAATGGATCAGAGGCGCTCCAGGGGAAACGAAAACCATCAGCCCCAGGGGGGGTGTTTGCCGTGGGCTTGAATGGGGTGCTGGAAATGGAAGCTGCCAAAGGATGTGATACCCGGCCTGGCTTTTCCCTGTGCGACAAGGCTCAGTTCAGCACCATGGACGTCTAGGGAGACAGCACAGCTGGTGGCCACGTTCTCCAGCATCTTTCCATTCATTCATTCATTCATTCATTCATTCATTCACTGGCTAGTTTGCTTGCCTGTTCAGTTTGATATTTGATCCTTTATTCTAGACTGAAGGTAGCGGAGCAAGAGCTTTAACAAAAAGCTACAAACAACTGTGTTTGCTTGGAATGGCCACCTTTTAAAAGTGGGGAATGGATTGCGTAGGCATTCATTCATCTGAAAAGCCACAACAAGCTGGGTGTAATTGAGGGCCTGGCAGAGGATGAGGTGGCTGGATGGGGTCACTGAAGCAGTCGGCGTGAGCTTAAGTGGACTCCGGGGGATGGTGGAGGACGGGGGGCCTGGAGGAGTGCTGTCCATGGGGTCGCGATGGGTCGGACACGACTTCACAACCAACAACAACAACATGGCCACTGCATCACTGAAACCTCATAGCAGTTCCTCTTTTTATCCCAGAGGCCTGGGCTGTGCTTCCATATTCCGGGGGGGGGGGTCTGTCTCTCCATGCAGCAGCCCCCTAACTCCAAGAACATGAACCCCACATTCCAAAGATGCCAAAGATGCCACCTTCAGACTATTTTGTTCTAAATGCATTAATTAATTTGCCGTCACTAGCTGGCAGACTTCCCCAGCCGACTCATGGCTTGTAGCGATGCAGTTTGGAACCGTGGAAGATTAGCAGGTTGAGAGGCTGAATTATTTATATGCTTGCCCTCCCCACCCTGCTGTGGGCAGCCCCCTTCAGGGGAATGGGGTGGGCAGCCATGGGGTGCACTGAAGCAAGGGGCATGCGTTCCTCCAGGTGCTGAGGCCGTGCCTGCACGTAGACCAGGTGAGCAAAAGTGCTCAGGTCCGATAGCTGTGCCTCTTCGCCAATAATCGTAATTTTCACCCACCGAGCAAAGAGCATAATTAAGAAGAAGGCAGGCCTCCTGCAGGCAAGGCAGCCCCCTGCCAAGGTGCCAGTACAGAGAAGGCCGTGCTCCTTAGAGCACCAGCCCCAGCTAGAACCACAGGAAGGAAACCGGGGGACGGGTTCAGCTTGCTACCTGAGCAACTTCAGGAAAGGGTGGGACACCTGTCTGATACATGCATCACTAAACTGGTGCAAACCGCAGGGTTTCTGAGGCCCAGCTTGTGGCTTTCCCATCGCGGGTCCGAATGGCCCGAAGGCCCCGTCCCTCCCCGTCCCCTGCTTACTCTGTCGCTGGCAGCCGTTCCCCATGGCTGCCTGGACGAGGCCTTCTGTCGCCCGCAGGGGTGAGGAGCGGCCTGGCACGGCTGCAGCCTGACGTTGATCCGCACGTTGCCAGATGTTACCCGCATCGCTGGCCTTGCTGCCGGGCTCCCATGGTGCTCCCGGTTCCGCTGGCCGCCCACCCAGCACAGGGCATGATGGGAAGGCGGCATTTGTCTCGTGTCACAGAAGCAAGGCTGCTTTGCTAAGTGGGGCAGTAGCTGGGATTCCTGAGACCCCTGTCTTCTCAAGGGGCCACAGTTCCTGGTGCGGACAAGCCCCTCTGCTCAGGGCGTGCTGGCAAAGGCAGCTGCCCCGAAGTTCAGGAATAACGAGCGATAAACCAGGGCCCGTTTGGGGCAGTTGGCAAAGTGCTGAACTTGACTAGAAGGAAGGGCTGATCTCAAGTACTGGGCTCTGGCTCACACTTGGCCTTGGGCACATCATATTCCCCCCACCCCCCGCCCATCTCTCTCTCACCCTGGCCTGCCTCACAGGGCTGTTTGGAAGGGTGAAGTGGGACTGCACCACACAGAGTTCCTCAGCAGAAGGGACAGGTTGCGAACATGAAAATCAAAACGAAAACGGGGCGCTCCGGGCACATGCCTTCTGTGCAACCCTCATAACCGCTCACTTGTGTACAGAGGTTCTCGCACTTGTGGGTTCAGGGAAGAGCTTTGGCTCTCTGTGTGCAGCCCTGGCATCTCTAGCTGCCACAGGCGCAGCCACCAGTTCTGGATTCCAGATCAAGCCCTTCAGGTGTCGAGATCGGACCCACTGGCGTTCTCCAAAAGACCATGCCACCTCTTTCGCCTCTCCCACCCTTTGCCCTCCAACCACGGTTAGCTAGTTGGTTTCCCACTTTTTAAAGGGCCTTTCCTAAAGGTGGGGAAAGCGCCAGGCAAAAACACACCGTAGCTGCTTGCCGTGGCCTCTTCCGCACCCACCTCTGGAATGTGCCCGCTGCTCTGCACACATCTCCAAAGTGGGCAGGAAAAGGTCTCACAGCTGAGCTGAGCGGGGACCTCGGGCAGCTGAACTGCGGGCAGCCACTGCCTGAACTGCTGCCAGCGAGAGCTGAAATTCTGAGTTAGGTGCCTCTAAGAGCTGATTTTGGCACTTCCTGTCATTGTCAGATCCATGACATTGGACCATATTTCCTCAAAATCTAACTTCTTCAGCTTGCTATCTTAACTGGGCATATTCAGCTCTGATTTCAGAAAACATCGATTTTGGCTTGCATTATTACGAACCCTTACTATTAACACAACACCGTGAATGTGTGTTGGACACTGCATCCCAAATTACACAGAAGAATGAACAGCCATTACGGTCGGGCTTTGCTCTAAGGAGTCTTTCAATCTTTGAATGAAACAACTTCAGAGCATAAATGTTGTGCTGCGTATCCATGTTATTTTAGTTGTGATCTGCCCAGAGAGTTTTATAGAAATAAAAATAAGTGTAACTGTAGGTTGCCTTCCTCCTTTATAAAAATAATGTGGAAGTATCGGTAATTACTTGCGTGGTCAACCGATTAAACAATTCCAGCATGGTCGATGGTATCAGAAGTCATGCGGTCTGGGTTGCTTTTCTTCAGCCAAAGCAAGTTTATCTTCTAAACCTGGGCCTGAACCCCAGTTGAGATGCCTCTCCGACATCAGGTTCCTGCCCGAGACCCTTCAGTTGTGCAGCCACAATTGTTTGTGTACTTTGCCTGAAATGGTACCGCTTCAGGAGCAGTTGCAGGAGTGCTTCCTTCAGAGCAGCCGTGTGTCTAAAACTCATTGAAGGCAGCAAGAAGCACCTTCTGGTCCCAGCTGGGCAAGCTCTTCTTGCTTGCGTAGTCAGCCAGGAAACGCAAAGGCGGCACATTACGAGGGCCGGCTGCACCCCTCCGAGAGCCTTGTTAATCTGTAACAAAAAGCTTGTAGCTGTAGAAATTAGATCTTGATTTCATGCTTGAAAAATATGCAAATAGACCCCCATTCACTTGTCCATTATATTCTCTGGATGTTAAAGATACAATTGATTTGACTGCAATGGCTTTGCTATTATGGGAAATGTGCTAACTGATATCTTTGCTCTCGTTAAGCATCAGAATGACGACATGGCCACAAAGGGGATGTATAAACTGGACGATGGAAACTGTTACCCAACCAACTGCTTTCCAGCCAGAAGTCTTTTGCGGCCTAGATATGAGGAAGGTAATGTAACCCAACGTCCGCTGGATATGGCCCGGTCCATATATCTCAACTGCCCAGGGTTGGATTTTAAACCCGGGCTGGTTGAGTGCAAGTGAGTGCATTGGATTGTCCTCTCGGATGGCTTCTACTGGGAGTGGGAACAGCCAAATGATTAAGAAATGCTCCATCCATTGAGGACAGGGACTCCAGCTTGGGATGGGGGAGGCTCCAACCTGGCTGGCTCAGAAGAGGGGCGATAGGAAGCCCCACGATCCGCTTCCAGGTTTGGGAGCTGGGCGATGGTTCCTGTCCTTGCAGCCTGTCTCCTCCCAGCCCAGCCCTCAGGGCCCTTACCTTGGAACGTCAGTTCAGTTGACAATGTGTTCAGCGACTCTTCGGTGTGTTTCCCGACGGGCTGCTTCTGTGCCTGTCACCTCAGGGGCCGGACACTGGCAAGTGGCCCGCCGGACAGCAGAGAAAACCAAGATGGAATTACTGTTTGGCCCCAGATCCTCCCAGGTCAAATGGAAAAGCCCAACAGCGCTGAGTGGGGCTCACAGCCACCTGGATGAGAAAACCCTCACCGGCTCCTACCTGGTATGTGCAGCTTGTATGCAGGTGGTCCAGCCAGGCTGACTTCAAGTGCGGGGCATGCATTTTGAGCCTGGTTGCAAAGTGCTTTGTCTATATAGCGTGAAATGCCTGAAGTTGCCTTGTCCTGGTCTGATCTTGGAGCTAATCTGGCCCAGCGATGGTTCGCTCTGGCAGTGGCTTTGGTGCCCTCCAGATGCATTGGACTGGACATCTTCCCCAGGACGTCCAGTGGCTGACTGGATGTCCTGGCGAGGAGACTGCTCTGTGCTCCACTTCCTGAACTCCTTTGCCCCAGAACCGCTGCAGGATGAACTTGCGGCGGTTCCGTGAGCTCTGTCAGCATTTTTGGCTCACAAAGGCCCCCTTCGGATGACGGCTCCACCACAGGACAGTCTCCTGAGGCTGGATGGCTCGCCAACGATCTTGTCTCTCTCCTGCTGCCCTCCCTCCTTGTGTGTGACAAGATCCCTGAGCTGAAAGATGCCAGGTTGGGTTGAAAGCTGATTTCCCTAGCTGTGCAGTCCAAACTCCGACGTTCTGCATGTGGGGAGCGGGGTGACCCGCACAAGGCTGAGACCTGCTCCTGCTTTTATGCCATGCAGAGGTCAACTTAAGATGACACTGGCTGGACCAGGTCAGAGGTCCCTCTGGAAGCCAGACAGGCGGTTTGGAGACGTTCACAAGCAGGGCACATTCCTGGCAGGCTGGCTGCATGCTGGAAGAGGTCCAGGGGTTGGCAGTTCTGCCTGGGGGGTTTTCCCTTTTCGCTTATCTGGGTGCTTCCATCTGTTTCCTGGCTTCTTATTTCCAGATGAAACTCCACCATGTGAAAAGTCCTTCACACCTGTGTTCAGTGGACATCAGTGACCAAAATTTTGTCTCGGTGAGTAAGCATGTTTGGCAACATAAACCTATGGTATCTTGCATTGACTGGAGTCACGGAGTCAGAAGGATGATCTGCAGACTGGAGACAAAGCCCTGTGAGGAATGACTGAGAGAAATGGGCATGTTTAGTCTCGAGAAGAGAAGACTGTGGGCAGGCAGGATAGCCCTCTTCAAGTGCTTGAAGGCTTGTCACACAGAGGAAGGCCAGGATCTCTTCTGGATCATCCCAGAGTACCGGATACAGAGTCATGGGCTCATGTTACAGGAAGCCAGATCCTGGCTAGCTATCGGGAAGAACTTCCTGACTGTTACAGCCCATGACCAAGGGACCAGTGGGCTCTCTCACCCTGGAGGAACTCAAAATGCAGCTGGTCAGCCATGGGAGAGGGAGGGTTTATCTGGGAGTCTCTGAGTACGGGGTTGGGCCCGATGGCCCCCTTGGCCTTCCCAACCCTCGTCATCTAGGATCATGGAAGAATCCGATGGTGAGGCAGCTGTATTTGTCAGCTGAGTGCAACCGCTGCAGTCACGAGACGAGCTCCAGGGTCAGGAGGTACGGTGGGAGGGGATACGCAGCCTCCCTTTCAAGGTAGCTTCAGAGCTTCTGTTCTGACGGATCTTCTCCTCCAAGAACTAGCAAGCGCCGCTAGAATCTTTCAGTTCCTCCAGCACTGGTTGAAAACCACAGCCAGACTCTGCATTAGTTGCTGGCTCGGTTCATGGGGGGCAAGACTTTCAGAGATGCCATAATGCAAGATCTGGAAACAGCTATTTTTGTGCCGTTTTCTGCAGGCGAAAGAGGATGAATTTGAGGAGTTCAATTCTGTTGCCTATATCAATGCCACGGAAAACCTGCTGACCTTAGGTAAAGAATGCATAGCCATATTGGTTGGACTGAACATTGGAACTTCATCCTCACCGGGGTTGCTAGCTCGGTGATGAGACAGAGTATTTCTTTCCTGTAGCTATACCTGCATCTCTATCTTTAATGTTAAGATTTAAATCAACAGTTGTGACCGTCCCCTCCACAAACAAGCTTTTCCTATTAAAGGACAGGGCTGAAATCACCCAGAAACTTCTCAGACTGTTCCAAGCTTCTGCTGTTGTGGATTAGATTCTCGTGTCCCGTTTTTCAAGTTATGGAACAGACAAGATAGTCTTAGGGCCCAGGGGGTCCGAAGCAGGCCTCCAGCGCCTTGGACCTGGGCTCTGGAAATGGGCAAAGTTAGATGAGAAAGCTGCACACCTGTTTTTCCTAATCTAGGCCTTCCTTCAGTCACTTAGAATAGGGATGCTGGACCCCATGGATGAATCTGCCTCATATGGGGGAGTTCATCTTGCCCATGGGGTCCCCAGTGGATCACACACCGGTTCTCCTGACTCCGCCATATTTCCCCCAACGTTTGCCGCTTTCGCACATTTCCCCTCGTCATCCCAAAGGTTAACATGCCTCTCTTAAGGTTTAGTTTCTACCAGGAAGAACTCTAGGCTAAAATAAGCTGGTGCTGGTACTTTGGCCCTGTCTCTTTGCCTTATGCCCTGGCCACCCCTGGCAGGCAGCACCAAGTTTCTGTGAAGCAGGATTTGGCCTTTGGAATGAAAGAGACTCAAGGTCCCCGGCTTATACTGTGTGTGTCCTGGGACCCACACCCAGCTGGGGCTTTGGGCTTGGCTTCTTGCCCCACCAGCTCAAAACAAGGGACACCACCAAGCAGGTCTATTGAATTAATGTTTTATTTTCCTTTTTCCAATTCCCACCCAGAAGTCTTTCGTAAATTTCCTGTGTTACGGGAACTGGAACTATCCTTGAACGGCCTAAGAAATTTGAAGGTCGACGCTGGGGACTTTCCATACCTGGAAGTAAGAGGAAAGGGGCTCGGGAATGTTGGTGGGGCGTTCTCACGTTCTGAAGGGGTTGGGGTGGTTGAGAAATAAACCCCGGATGGGAAGCACCCACTTCCTTCCTGGCTATTCTTCTACTTCAAATTCTCTGTTGCATCAGTGACTTTCCCATCTCTGCTGAGATCTCATTTGTTGTATCCTGCAGGGTGCAGGGTAGACGGAGCACTGAAATCTAATGATATAATTCCGTTTTCCACTCCCTGCTTCCCCTTTGAATATATAGCCAGTCTCTTTCAAGGTCTTATTGGAGGGAAAATATCAAATGAGAAAACAAATCTAAAATATCCTGTTGATATTTCACTCACATCCAGTGAAACCTCTCAAAAACATCACCACTGAAAAGATTCACACTTTGATCCTGGTCCCCCAAACCATGAAGAATAGAAGCTGACTGTGGTTAGGTTGTTCTATATCATCTCTGTGGTTGTGTGAGACCGGATCCAGACAACAGGACAATCCACACTCAAAGGCTGAGTGTGAGTTGTCATTGAATTGTTGTTGCTGAAATGTGGGGTTCTTGTGTTGTTTGAAATCAGCTGAGATAATAACCACAGTGAACAATCCTCAGTTGGCAACCCAGCTACAAACCATGGTTTCCCCTCAGGGGTTGTTCATGGTTAACAAGCCATGCCTGGGTTCAGACAACATGGTAATCCAGTGGGTTTCAGTGACCACCCCCACTCAGCCTTTGCTCAGCCCTTACTGTCTGGACCCAGTCATGGTGGCGCCTGCATCTCTCTTCTTTGCCACGGAATGACTGGATTGCCTGCGTTTCAGATCCTGGACCTCTCCTACAACAACCTTTCTCCTGAAGATGTCCAGGCTTTGGGGGTTTTGCCCCACCTTAAAGTTCTCCACCTTACTGCCAATGGACTGAGTTCACTTCCCCTCGACCTGGCTGTCCCTGAGAGGTAGGTAAGCGCCGCCACCCACGGAAATCACATTGGTTTGCAAGCAATATTCGGGGTGGGGGGGGGATTTAAGGGAACAAAAACAATGAGATTTGCTGTTTATCAAAGGAAAGCAGCAATCGCACAGGGGTGGTTCTTGGCATCAGCTCTGCAGCAACAGCCTCTCTGCCGGGAGCTTTCCTGGAGCTGATGTGGCTGGAGGGAAAAGACGTTCTTTGGGGTGCCTTTTGTGTGAACACCGGATCTGCTTGCCTGAAACCTCCATGGCTCGCTTAAAAGACAGCAGCCTCTCCTAAACAACGCTTCTCTTTCCTTCTATCTGTATTAACTTGGTTGATTTTTGAATGAATAAGCAGTACCAATAGGCTGCAACATACCAGGAGTGTTCCGGGGCAGCTGGCACAGGACGGCTCCCTCTTCCTTTGTGAACTCAAGCTGAGAGACACGATCCTTCCCAGGCGTCCTCCCAAGCAGATGCTTGACCTCCGCCGACCACTCTCCTGTTCAGCCAGCCTGCAGGGCTACCCTGAGACATTCAGGGGGTGGCAGTTTGAGGGCTGACAAAGGGCTGTCTTCTCCACACAATGCCCCCTGGTCGAGGGATGTGGCTCCCCCAGGTGTGGGGGTGGCTGTAAAAGGATGTTAATGGGGACCGGCTGGGATGCACATATAATGCTGGTCCTCTATCAGTTACACTGGCTGTCTGGGACCAATTTAAGGTGCTGGTGATGACCTAGAAAGCCCTAAACGGCTTTGGTCCAGGTTACCTGAAGGGATGCCTTCTTATTATCTCAGCTGGGCTCAACCGACACGATAACCCTGCCTTTCAGCAACCCGCAGTTTGTGACAGTCCACCCTGTGCCCATGAGTTATAATATTGTCCGAACCTGGGAATTAAGAAAGGAAGACAGGAAAGGGTGAGGGAAGAGAGAAAGAAGATGCGTGCGAACGCCCAGGAACAACGGGTGTTTTCTCTGTCCAGCAGCAGTGAGAGTTCCCCCAGGTTCCCGGCTCTGGAAGTCCTGCTCTTGAATGACAACCACCTTTCCCACCCAAATGTCTTTGTCAGCCTAGCGAACCTCCGAAGGTAAGCAAGGAAGGCAGACTGGGCTGAAACTCAGCTTCCTGGCCATGCATGGGAGAACTCCTTCTGCCGTCTTGAGTTTGCATTCAGTACATGTAATGCAGAAGCCTTTTCCGAACGTTGCCGGGCTCCATCCGGCCCCCTGCCTTCCTGTGGCAAGCTTCGGTTTCTGTGCTTTCTTCCCGCTTTTCCACGTTGGCTGTTCCTCCTCCTCTTTAACCCCTTGGGAAGACACGGGGGTGGCTCTTGGCAGCCTTTCCGACCCTCCTGGAATAGAAACTCCGAGGTGAGAGGACCAGTCTTGCTTTTCTCTGTGGCTGGTCAGCTGGAGTTAATGACTGGAAAGGGTGAAGCCGCATGACCCCTTGGAGGATGGGCCGGTTCCCTCCTGTATCCCATGAGCCACATTTGGGATGGCCGAATATGCAAGCCCTTCTCTGAGTAAGAGGCGAGAGACTTGGGCAGCCCAGGGTCCTGTGTGCGTACCCTGCCCAGCACCACCTCAGTGCCGAAAAATCGCCATCTACCTGTCCTCCTTCCTGTTTGAGCCTTGAGATAGAAACACATAGAAGCAGAGCGAGCCAGAAGGGGTCTCTCAGGCCATCTAGTCTGACCCCCAGCTCTAGCCAGCTTCGCTTACGACATGCCCACCACGTGCATGTCTAAGCGAGATCTAAGCAAGCTTCCGCAGTGGGCTTCCTCCACGGGGCCAGCTGCCTGCCGGGCGTACGGTGGTGAATGGAAAGGCTCCGTCTTGGGTTCTCCCAACAGGCAGCAGGCTCCCCGGGTCCTCCTGCCGCCCCCGCGAGGGGCAGCGGACGCAGTGGGCTGAGGGCGGAGAAGCTTGGGCAGGGCCACAGAGCATTCCCGAACGAGCGTCGCGGGGCGGCTGAGCACTCAGCTCAGGGCCGTGTCAATGTCTGCACAAAGGCAGGCGTGGGTGGGTGTCTGCCAAGAGCCCGCACCCCAGCAGTGGCCCACTGATAGGACCTCCTGCCCCCCCCCCCCGGTTGCTTCCCCTCTTCACCACGGCATCCGGCTTGTTCGCCTGCCTCCTGCTCCGACGAGCCCGTGGTGATGGAGAAAAGGAGGGGCGAGGATGCTACGCCCCCTGCGCTCTGCCCCCCGAAACAGGCAAGAGGGAGCAGAGGTGAGAAAGGGGCTGGGCTGCGCAGTCGGCGGCCCTGGCAGTGAGCGGGCGGATCACCGAGGATCGGCTGCCTTGTGCGAGGCTGGCCCCGGGGGCTGCGCTTCATCTCCCCTGTGGCTCCTGGCCCCCACAGTCCCTCTGGGGAAGCGCTCCACGCACGTGTGTGTTCTGGCCGCGTGCAGCGCTCGCCGCCTCTGCGTGCGCGTTGGGGCGGTCTGGGGACCCACCCTGCGGGGATTAGGCCGGCGCTGACCGTTCTGCCTGGCGCTTGCCTCCTCAGCCTGAAGCAGCTACACCTGGACAAAAACGGGATCAGGGAGGTGCCGTATCTCCATCGCGTGGACAGCTCCCGCTTCTCCATCCATCCCTTATCGGCAAAGTCGGGCATCAGGGAAGGACTGCGCAGCCGGAAAAGCGCTGGGAAGCGGCTCCGGCAGGAGGGGTCTCCCGGGCCCAGTGGGCAAGCCGAGTACCTCATTGTTCAAAATAGCAAGGACCCCGACAGGACAGGTGGGCTTTGAGTGTTTCTCGATGGTGAGGATGACGACATAATGCAACCCCCAAATAACACTAATTCGGTCATCAAACACCATACAAATAACAACACAACACCCCTAAAACAGCCTTTTAAAAAGCAGCCACATTGTGCGGTAGGGACACACACGGCACTTCATGCAGGAGTGTCGCCAACCAACCAGCCTGGGTCCCTGCCCTGAGGAGTTTACAATCTAGGGCAAAAATTTGATGGAACGGGAAGAGCAGGTGATGAGGGGAGAAACACGGCTCTGGGTGCAATTACTGCTTTCTGCTTCCAACGACTGATTACAGTCTTACTGCTCGGAAGCCCCCCGACTTGGAGGTGTCCACCTTTCCTATGCCCACCAGCTGCAGCTGGTGGGGGGGGTCTTCACCCGCCACCCTCTGTGTTTTCTCATTTGCATGGGGCACTTCAAAGTGAGGGGGGAGGCTCAGGGCACAGGGCCACCGCCATCCCGGACTCTCTGGGTTCCTGCTTTCTGCACCCTCCCACTGGACACCCCCACTCCCCACTTCCCCAGTCCTGGAGAGGCAGCCAGCGTGGGTCTCTCTGCTGTGGCCGGGCGTGGGGAGGGTCCAGGGTTGGAGCCCCTCCTTCCGAGGGTGCAGGGGGGTTGTGGACCTTGGAATTGCTTTCTCCATGGTTATCCAGAGGTATCAGGGTGTGCTGCAGACGGGGACGAGAACGAGGGCCAAAGGCCCAGGGAGAGGTCCTGCTTTACTGCCTGCCAGAACCCCTCCTCTCTGTGCCGCTTGTGCCTACGGAGGGGGTGAGCCCCCGGAAATGGAAAAAAGCAGACAGACAGCCATTAACCAGAGGGATGTGGTTTCTTTACTGCGCAATAGCTGAAGGTCTCTGAGCAGTGGACAACAGTTCAGTATTAACTGAAGGAGGCCCCTTCTGACGCGCTCTGTTTCTGTATTTCTAACATATCCACCTTTTTAATGTATTTTTCCTTCAAAAAACTTGCAGAGATTGTTTTCCCATCCTGGTCCCCAGATCCACCATCAGAGGTAAGTCTGTCCGTCTGTCTGCCTGTCTGTCTGTCCTCCTTCAGCTGTCCTTCCATTGGCTCCCAACCACTTCCGTGCATCTTGATTTCATGATTTTGCTCAGGCGCGGCGTTTTCCCAAGCTCTTCTGGTAAAGCTTCCATGCAGTGCCGCTCCTTTAAGTCCAACAGAACAAGAGATGATTTGATCCCACTGAAATGAATGGGGGGAAATTGACTTAAATCCAAGCATTCTGGGCTGTGGAGGAAGCTCTTTATTTATTTATATTGTGATTTATATCCTGCCTTGTTCCTACAAAGGGCTCAAGGCAGCTTACATCATTCTCCTCCTCCATCTCATACCCACAACAACAACCCTGTGAGGTAGGTTGGGCTGAGAGTCTGTGACTGGCCCAAAGCCACCCAGTTGGCTCCATGGCTGAGCGGGGACTAGAACCCGGATCGTCTGAGTCCCAGTCCCATGCTCTTAACCACAACACCACACTGGCTCTTGTGATCTGGGCTGGCTCGCAGGTAATTGCTCTGAACAGAAGGGCTCGGATGCAAGGCAGACCGCCAGTGCGGGTTGCCTGCTCCTTCAGCGTATCCACACACGCAGCTCCGGAGCTTCCTCGCCAGCGGAAGGAAGGCCGATGCTGTAGGGAGCTGCTCAGCTTGGTAGAGAGCCGAGGGGCTGGTCGGGAAGGGCATTGCCCCACAACCCCCAGGCCGCGAGGGAAAGCGTTTCTCCCGGCAGCGTCTCCCTGGGGCTTGCTGGAGGACAGGGAGGGATGACGCTCGCACGGAAATGCTCCATGCCCGAAAGTGGCAGCACGTGGAAAGGGAGCATTTCAGGAAGAAGGGACGGCTTTCTCTCCCTGCTGGCTGCCTTTGCATATGTGTGTGCTGAGGGGCCTGCGGAGATCCCAGTGGGCAAGGGATGATCCCAAGGATCCTTTCTTGGGGCGAGGGCGCGGCTTTCACCCCTCGCCTGTCCTTTGCTCTCCAAGCAGGAAAGTTCTCCTTCGCCGTGCGGTGCTCCCGAGACCTCCTGTGCCACTCCCAGCTCAGAGTTCGTTCTCCCGCTGCCAGAGCTGCGGTTCCTCAGCCTGGCTGACAACCAGGTGATGGGCTTCTTTGCTCTGCATGCTTCCGAGCCAGGTGGCTCTTTCTGGGACCTGGGATTGGGGGGGGGGGGGAGCGGTTGACAAGCCGGCTTTCTAGATGCCTTGTGTGGGTGCCCGGAGTTCCCCGGCCCTCGAAAGCCCTTGTGCAGGTGGCTGGAAGTGGCCAGAGCGTCTCCAGCCGTACGCATTGCGAGGAAGCCATGCTGGGGAGGAAGTCTCCACGCAGGGCCCCAAAGAGCCTGCTGTAGGCAGGCTGGACCAGCCTTCTCCAGCCCAGTGCCTTGGACACCCACTCCCATCAGCCCCACCCAGGATGGCTGCACCAGCACATCTGGAGGGCACCGGCCTGGCCTGGCCTGTCCTTCCCCAGCCGGTCCTCTCCAGATGTGTTGGCTGGCATGCTGGCTGGGGGATGCTGGGATTGTCCCCCACATCTGGAGGATACCCAGTTGAATCCAACCGGCCTGGGGCAGAAGGACCACCAGCTGGGCTTGGTCTGAGACAGGGAGTCTTGCCCAAGCGCCTCTGATGTTGCCCACTGAGTACTGCTCCCACTTTTACAGAAAACGCGTAGCACTGTGATGCAGGAAACTGTTCCATCCTTGCCCCACCCAGGAGTGCTGCCCCACGTGGACACACAGGCATATGGGGCTGGCGGAATGAGGAGCGTGCGTGCTGGTGGCCTCCGCGTGCAAAGTCCTGTGCTTCTGCAGCCCCCAAGCCCGCACCCATTAACTGTGTCCGGATCATCGGCCAAACCCCCAGTCGGCCCTTAGCCACAGCTGTGCGAGGCCGCTGATCCGCCCAGCCTGGGAGTCTTTCGGCCACGATGTGTGTGTGCATGTGCAGGTAGTGGAGTTGGGCAGCTGGGGCATATTAGCTGATTCCAGACCAGACAGAGGGTGGTGGAATCTCATACCCAAGCCATACCGTTAAGGCCTAGCTCTCAGGACGGTGGTCAAACACTGGATCATGTTAGCTTTCGAGATGGAGGACTCATGGCCCTAGATGTTCCCTCCTAAAAAATAAGTAAATAAAACTCGGCAGGGAGAAACCTGACACACATTAGAGGAAAAGTGAGCCTGAGGCACTAACTTTCTATGTGCGGGGATGTGGTTATTTTGTGGAGAGACACTCAGTCCTGAGATTGCATAGTCCAGACACAGCCTCGCCATCTCCAGCAGGAGGGGGCCTGAACCGGCACGCTGGCCCCCAGCAGTGATTATGCTCACGTGGACAGGCACACGGCAGGCATGTCCTGAGCACAGCCGGCTGGAGCCGGGGGTCAGACTAGATGACCCAGGACCCCATTCTGACTCGCTCTGTTTCTAAATCCTGACAGCATGCTCTGTGTTCTGGCCCACAGATCGAGCAAGAGGAAGATCTGTTGGCTGTGGCGCTTTTCCCGTCGCTGGCAGAGCTGACGTTCTATGGCAACCCTTTCACCACTTCTCGGAGCGGTAGGGGGGCATCGGGGGTTTCACTGGGGCGCCCTCGCTGGGCTCCGTTTCTCGCAGTCTGAGGACTCGGGCTAGCACAGGTCTCTGGGAAGGAACAGGTTTTCAGCCCATGGCCGTGGCAAGCGTCAGGCCCTGGGGGCCGCACCTGGTCTGCCTGGTTTCCCCATCTGACCCCCTGGGATTACCCGGCTGGCCCTCTGCCCCCTCCACACCCTGCCTCTCCCTGAGCATCCACCATCGGTGGCTTCCTTGCCTTTGCACCCTTTCCCTCCCATCCCAAAAGCCTGAAATGCCCGGGGCTTCCCCTGGGCAAGCAGGAGTGTTCAGGTAACACAGGTGGGCATGCTTTGCCGTTTTGGATGCCGCCCCACTGCATCTCCCTCACCCCCAGCACTGGGATGTGGGCCCCGGAAGCCTCTCCAACACTGAATCCAGCCCTCGGGCCGAAGGAGGGTTCTCATCCATGGCTTGTCACAGCCTCCGAACAACCAGCTCCTCTGATGTCTCGAAAAACACGACGGAGAGGCAGCAGGCAGCAACGGCAGGGCTGGCTCGGTGGGGGGCCCACTTATGGGGCTGCACTACTCCCAGAAGCAGGTGGTGGGGCTGCATGTCCAAATCTCCCCTATAGAAATCTAAACCCTGTCGAACGAGAACACAGCCGTGCCGGGAAGGCAGCCTGGCTTTCCAGATGGCTGGCGCTGCGGGGAGAATCTTGGCTAGCATTTCTTCCCTGATAAATTCCCAATTTCTTTTACACGGGGGAGCATTGTTTTTTAAAGCTGCACCCCCTGTGCAGACTACATAGCCTATCCTTTCAGGACTTGGCCCCCTGCCCTCCGCGCACGTGCCCCCGGCAGCTTGGCATGGCGGCAGCTTGTTAGACATCCAGGCCCGCCTCTCCCCAACCTTGCGCTCCCCAGATGTGCTGAGCTGCAATACCCCCAACCCCAAACCAGTGGAGACCTATTTTGTGTCTTAAGAGTGGAAATGGGAGCCTGGGGGATATTTTCTCCCACCCAAACACAGGGGCCCATGTCAGGGTGGGCAGCATCAAAGGGTGTACTCCAAGCTTGCTCCTCTCTACTCCTCTGCCACCAGCAGGCAAAATATTCCTGTTCAAGCAGGTCTTTGGTGTGGAAGCAGATCTGACAGGCAGGATGTTGTTTTTATTCTGACATTGTGCTTTTCACCATTTTTTGGTGCATGCTAGAATTGTCCTGGGCAGGTTTTATTTCAGTGGGAAGCTGCACAGGGTGCCATTTTTCTTGGTGGAAAGGTAGGGTAGAAATCCAACACTGTTCTCACCTTTCCGCTCCTGGCGCCCTTGAGATGCCTTTGGCAGGTGCCGGGCTGAAGAGGGCTGAGGCCCTCCGTGTTGAGAGTGCGGGTCGCAGACCAGAAGGATACCCCTGAACCCTCCTAGCAGGGTGACCTAACACCACAGGGAGTGGGGGACGCTCGGGGACAGGCACCCGCCCTGGGGCATCGTCCGGCCTGCCAGGCTCAGTCTATGAGGAAATCCAGGGGATGCTGCCCCTCCCGCGGGTCTGGAAGAATCAGCTTTCCGTGGCGCAGCTGCCTTCCTTCCGCAGCTCTTTCCCAGCCCACCGTTTGCAGGACGTGGATCCGTGAAGCGGAACTGGCCAGCTGGCCGCTTCACCAGGGAATCCACTCTCTCCGCTTTCCCCGTTCCCCAACCGCAGGCGATCCACCTTTGCTCACCAGTTTCCTTCAGAACAAGCTGGGCATCAAAACGATTCGGAAGAAAGTGTCCAAACCGGAGAAGCCCCGGCTCTTCATACCTATCAAGGCTAACCGGAAGGTATGGCTCGAAAGACGCCGGATGCTCCTGCGAGGGCAATGGGGGAAGGAGAGGGCTGCCGTCCTGCCCCTTTCGCTCTTCACACATAATGATAGTGCGAGTGGGGAGACACGGGGAAAGAGCCGGGGTCCCTGCAGCAGAACCATGCCCTGACTGTACTGGAGCTCTAACTTTTGGTCTTTCCAGGCCAGTATTGCCAACGCTGACTGGCAGCCACAACCTCCCAGGGGTTTGCCCAAGGTTTGGCAATGACAGATTCAAACCCAGAACCTTCTGCATGTGAAATCGGGGCATCACCACCACTCTGGGATGTCCCCCACTCCCCTACACACATTCCTTCGTATAAGCCAGTCTGGGGAGGTCTTCCACATAGAAAGAAAGAGAACAAAACTTTCATAGTGATTGCAAATGTGTTGGACTCACTTATTGGACACATACAGTCACCTTGGATAGCAGCGCACATGGGGGCCATGCGCATGCTCAGAGAGGAGTAGCGGTGCCAGGCAATGACGTCACGAGCTGCGACTCATTAGCTTTCGCATGGCTGGTCAGTGCGCTGCCAAGGATATAGATACATTTGCTTGGACTGGCTGTGAGTTGCGAAATCTCAGTATTCACGTTTTATTGCAGTGTTGGCACTTTGCGATAAAGAAGTGGGTTTTGGGTTGCTGTTTGGGCACTCGGTCTCTCAAAGGTTCACCATCACTGGTCTAGACCCAGCCAGATTTCACGCAGGTGAGATAGGGCTTGCAACCAAGCTCTCTTTCCACTTTCCAAGTGGACATCCATTTCTTGCAGACCTCGGTATGCTACAGGGGGGTCCCGATGCGCAGCCTTGAACTATGCTGGATTGCTCCAGCAACATCCTCACTGCCTTCTCCGATTGGTCTGGGCTTCCTTCTGGACATTTTATTTATTTATTTATTTAGGGAACTTCTGTGCCGCCCCATTCACCGAAGCCTCGGGGCGGCTCACAATCATAAATAAATAACATAATATAAGACAATATAATTTAACAGTATAAATTAAGTCGCCCTGGCCAAAGAATAAACTAAATAAATAATATTAACAATTAAAATAATGTTTGAATAAAAAGGTCTTGGCCTGGCACTGAAAAACGAATAACGACGGCGCCAGGCGGACCTCTCTGGGGAGCGCATTCCATAGATTGGGCGCCACCGCAGAGAAAGCCCTCCTCCGGGTACTCACCCTCCTAATTTCCTTCACGGAGGGTTCCCGGAGAAGGGCCTCTCCCGCTGATCTCAAGGGGCGGTCGGGCATATATGGACGTAAGCGCTCCTTCAGGTAGCCAGGACCCAAGCCGTTTAGGGCTTTATAGGTCATCACCAACACCTTGAATTGGGCCCGGACTTCAATGGGAAGCCAGTGAAGCTGACGGAGGACTGGAGTCATGTGAACATAACGCCCAGTCCCCGTCAGCAGCCTGGCAGCTCTATTTTGAACCAATTGAAGTATCCAGACCGTCTTCAAGGGCAGCCCCACGTAGAGCGTGTTACAGAAGTCAAGTCAGGACATGGCCAAGAGCATTTCGGAACCCCCAGTCAGTGGGAAGGTTTCGCCCCACACTTCTGGAAGGGACCAGGGTGACGAAGGCTGCTGGACAGAGGAGGAAGATGGAGCAAGGAAGGAAACCTGGAGGGCTTCCAAGGTTTTGTGTTAAGAGGGCCCATTGCGGCCCAGCATTGCAGCTCAAGGCAGGTAGCACTGAACGTCGTTTTGCTCTGGACCCCCAAGTCCAAACAGCATGGCATGGTCATCTTTATGTCCCTTACAGGTGAAAACGCAGCTGCCCAAGGTCCGGAAGCCCCCTCCAATGTTAGAGGCTCCTCCGGAGACCACCTTCTGGCAGCTGTGGACCGGTGCTGACTTGGATCCGAACAAAAGAATGAGTCTAGTCGACTCTGAGCCTCTTCCGCCAATCAGGTCCTATTCTATAGGCTCTGAGCCTGAACAACCAGTCATATCCACCCTTACTAAAGAGGAGATGTCTGCACCACCTTCATTGGCTAGTTTCTCTTATGAAGAGAATTGTGCTCCGGTTGAAAGCTCCTTGGAGGACTTAGAGTTGGAAGGCGATCCAGTCCAGCCCTCACTGGATGAGTTTCTACTGGTATCTTTTCCAGCACATAGATCGATTTTAGAGGAACAAGGTCGCCGAGTCCTGGAATCTCCGGGGCCAACTGAGCCACCTTCAGATCTGCCTGAGTCTCTCCCACCCAAAGAGAAGCCAGCCACACCTTCCCCTCTGGCTCAGTCCCCTTCCTCAGAGCGGGCTCTCCCTGAGAGCGGGCCATGGTCCTCATGGCCTTTGTCAGGACGGAATCAACCCGACCCTGTTTCACCTCCCAACTCGCCTGCGCAAGAACGTGTGCCGGCACCTGGACCAGCCGCAGAGCAGGATCTGGGCAAGACTCGCCCACCCGTTGGTCTTGTGGCGAAGGAAGAGCTGCTGCAAGCAGTCGCACCACCCAATTCTCCTTTGCTAGAACACGGTGCTTTGGAAGAACCGGTTCCACCAACGGAGCCTCCGGCTGAAGAACAAGATCGGACCCAGTCGCTTCAGCCAGTCAGATCACTTCCGGTAGAAGAGGATCCTTCTGAGGCCCTCCCACCAGCTAGATCACCCACCGCAGAAGAGGATCAGCCAGAAGACGTTCCACCAGCCAGCTCACTTTCCCAAGGACAAGGTTTGCCAGAACTTGCTTCGCCAACCCAGCTACCCACAGGGGATCTGCCTGAGGCTCTTTCCCCGGCCATTTCTCCTGCAGAGGAACAAGAGCAGGTTAAACTACCTTCACCATCTATCTCAACTTTGAAAGTCGAGGGTTTGTCAGGAGCCATTTCGTCACATCCATCTGGGACTGTCCCGCTGACCGCACCTGTTCCAGAAGGGCAAGAGTTGGCTCTGTCACACCGCTCAACTTCCCCGGAACTGGATCTGTCAGAACCTGGCCCTCCACCCGTGTCATGCAGAGAAGAACAGGATCTTTCTGAGCCACTTCCAGCAGACCAAGATCAGCTGGAAGCTGTTCCACTGCCCACCTCGTCTGCACAAGGACAGACGCTTCCGGTGTCCATTCCACCAGCTGGACCTCTGGAAGAGCGACAGGACTTAGGAGAGTCTCTTCCGCCTTCAGCGCCACATCTCTGTCAGGCTCCTGCACCAACTCGATCACCTCCAGCAGAGCAAGAGCCGTCAGAACCTGTCCCACCTGCCAGCTCGACAGCCCAAGACCCAAACCTGCCAGAACCTGAGCCACAAACGGGACGGCCTCCAGCAGCTCCCGAGTCCCCTCCACCAACCAGCTCGCCTCTTCCGAGTCCAAATCTGATGGATGCCTCTCAACCCTCCAAACCCCCCTTGTCGCAGAAGGTGTGCTCGGTCCTTCTGCCGCCCTCCCAATCCACTTCCAGGGAGCTGTACAAACTGTTCGCCCAAACACACTCAGCAGCCGTGCCTTATGAACTGTACGGTGAATTTTCCAGCGAGGAAGACCTCGTTCACGCCACTGAGGAGTCTGTGGAGGAGGGGGAGAAATCGGAGTCCTTCTTCATGACCCAGGTGGGTGTGCTAGAGAGGTGCCAAATGCTTAAACCGGCTGGATTTGCAGGTGGGACCGTGTGCTCCGCAAGAGGCACGAGGGAGGGTCTCCTTTTATAATGGTGTGGTGGCAAAAAGTAATTCACATTTTGGGGAGAATGTGCTTGTGTTTGGAAGCATCTTGCCTTCCCTTTCTCAGTTCCCCCGTTTTCCTTTCATTAACCCTGTGCTGCTGCCCCTGCTTGGTGCGCCACCATCACTCACTATGGCAACAAAGACTCTGAGACAGGAAAAAGAAAGGAAGCGGAGGGGAAGAGAAGTGCTCGCAGTCCTGGGATTTCAAATGCCATCCCTTTTCCAAAGAATTCAGGAATTCAGTGGTCCTCATTGTCCAAGCCTCTCAAAATCCTTGGGAAACCTACCCACAGATGCTTCACTAAAGTCACTAGAAAGCTGATCCAACTCCCACCCCTCTGAGAAGCGCTGGGAAAGTTTCCAGTTACTGCTTTTGCTCAGCTTTCGGGGGCTTCAAGCTCTGAGTGCTCTCAAAAGGCCTCAGGCAGCTGCTCCATCATTCCTTCCTTAATAGATTTCCCATGATGAGACGGATGCAATGAAAGGGAAAACTCAAGAGGGTATGAATAGGTGTCCTTGTCTGGATCCCCCTCCAAACTCCATGAATGAGGCAATGCGATTGCACACGACCGGCTTCCTCTAGGGCCACGCTCCTTCCTGGAGGCCCAGCACCACCCCATGAAAATCAGTCTCGACGCAATGAAGTTTGGAAATAAAACACTGAGATTCCTAATTCAGTGGCCCTTGCTTGGATAGCCCCACGGATACTTGAGGTCCGAGCACCTCCTGGTGTCTCTGCAGCAGCCTTCTTGCCAGATGTTTTGGACGGCTTCTCCCGGAATCGCCCGTGCTGGCTGGGAGTTGTGGTCCAACACATCCAGAAAGCATCAGGCTGGGGCAGGCTCCTTGTCACGCCCAGAGAGCAAAACAGGCCGCTCGCGTCCTTCCTTAAGACCTTTGGACTGGCCAGGAGAGCCAGCTTCTCGAGTCGGCTGCAGATCAACGGGCGCATCATTGCGGGACTGGCTCTTTGTGGTGACCATTTGCCCTGTTTCCTTCTTGGCCCTGAAGGTGGACGAAGCCTCCCGTTCTCGTTCGACGCTTCCAGGGGAGGCCCCCCCACCGGAGCAGCCGCGGAAAGAAACGGAGAGACAGTGCTATGTGGTGCCTGAGAAATACCGGGGGTACGAGCTGCTGCTGGGTGGAGACCCTGGCCCGGATTTCATTGAGCCGCAGGGTGAGTGCACCTGTCGTGGTTGTTCCAATTTCACACGTGAGCTTTCACATATGACGCAGTGGCCAAGAGGGCGAACGCCACCCTTGGTTGCATAGCCGGAAGCGTGGCTTCCAGATCCAGAGAGGGATTACTGCCACTCTGCACAACTCTGGTGCACCCGCAACTGGAGTATTGTGCTCAGTTTTGGGCCCCTCGTTACAGAAAGGAGATAGCCAGGTTGGAGTCAGTGCAGCGAAGGGCCACAAGGCTGGTGGCCGGTTTGCAGGGGATGCCGTATGAGGCGAGACTGAGGGAACTGGGCCTCTTCAGCCAGGAGAAGAGGGGACTCAGAGGGGACCTGTTGGTGACATACAGGTATGTGAGGGGGTGTTAGAGGAGGTGGGGAGAGACCTGTTCTCCCCTGCAGAGGAAGGCAGGACGCGCTCCAACGGAGCCAAGCTCAGGGAACCAAGGTTCAATTTGGATGCCAGGAAGCACTTCCTGACAGTCAGGACCCCGAGGGTGTGGAATGGGCTTCCACGAGAGGTGGCTGAGGCCCCACCGGTGCGGGTGTTCAAGGATAGGCTGGACGTCCACATGGTGGGCCTGTTGTGAGCGGAGCCGGCTGGTGCCGGAGGTCAGACTAGATGGCCCGGGAGGCCCCTTCTGACTTGCCCTGTTTCTATGTTTCTATCTGGCATTACTTGGACTGAAGATTCCAGCCCTGATAAGAGCTCTCTTTTGATAGCTTTCCCCAGCCTGGGGGTTTGCAGATGTTTTGGACCTCAGCTCCCATCAGCCCCAGCCAGTATGGCCAGTGGCCCGAAATGCTGCTGTAAATGAACACACGGAGCTGCTTTCTCACTCAGACAGAAGTTTAGCACCTCACTGAGGTGCTGAGAAGGGCTGGAGCTTGCCACCTGCCCTGCGGGTTGCAGAGGCATGGCTTCTGTCCTGCACTCCAGGTGGTGTAGCCCTGAATAATGATGCCGAGAACATCGGCCTCTCAGCAGACTGTGCTCGAACTTGGTCCAAAGAAAGCGGCTTTCGCTTCACCTGAACCCCTTCTCCTCTCTCCTTATTCCACCAGGAATCCAGCAGAACGTCAGAGCCCTGGAGAACGCCCTCCGGCACCAGCGCGTGTATCGTGACTCAAAGGCCAGGCTAGACAGCTTCCAGAAGCCTTACGTGCCCATGCGAAAAAAGGTCAGTGGGCCCATCGAGAGCCTCACGCTTAGACATAGTTGCTGCCTGGACAATTAGCCTCAGTCCTCCTTCTGTAAAATGGGAACAATAGAGAAACACACATTTAAACAACATGGAAACAAGGCTGTGTAGGTGTTGGAAAGGTTTCAGACGCAACGACAACACAGCATTTCTGCAGACAATGAATGCAAGGTGATCTTTAAGGCGTCTCTCACTGTATACCTAAATTTGATGTTGGAACACCCTAAAAGATTAAGTAGGATAGATTGCCACCCTCCCAAACACGTTCTTTAGATGAGCAAGGCTAAGCCTGGTTGTTTCAGGAGCTGCTGATTCAGAGTTGCTAAAATGGATCAACCCCATGGCTCGCTGAAAATCCGTTCTCTTTAACGGACAGATTGCTCAATGCCCGCTCCCTCCTGCCTATTATTTCCATCAGTTACTGGTTCCTGTTTACATCTCAGCAGGGGGTCATCCAGTGAGGATCGTAAGCAGTTACTCCAAGACAAATCAGAAGCACGAGCCGCCCCATTTATGAAAGGGAAGAAGCACAAGCCGCCCCATTCATGGGAGCGTGGAGTTTTGACAGCGGTCAGAATCCATATTTCCTTTAAAACCAGTGAGGGATTACTTCTGAGCAAACCTGCTTATCGCGGCAGTGTTAACTGATACATGAATTTGGTTAAATCACAGCTCAGGTTTCTTTAACTGAGTGTCAACAACTCGTAACGCTACACTCTGTACAGATGTCAAAAACGGCGACTGTGTTAGCACGTCCATCCTGCTCCCCAAGTGTTATCATTTGTGCTTTATCGCAATTCGACTTCACCTTCCTGCTAATTTATTTTAATGGGGACTGATCCTCCCATGGCTCCTAACAAAATTCTGGGCACTGTTAATTGAGTAAATCTGGCCCTGTGGAACGCAGGTTAGAATCCAGACGTGGGAAAGCAGCACTTTCTCAGACAAACATGGCCAGTGGGTGTGGCGTCTTCTTGGTTGTGGCATCCAGACTCTTGAACCCGCTTCCCGTTGGAAGACCCATCGGTCCTCCCCCTGCTGACTCTGAGGAGTGAAGCCATCCTCTTGACCGGCCTTCAGGCGGAGGACATCCGCACCAACAGCTTGGTCCTCCTGTGTATACCAGCTGCCTGCTATTTTATTTAATGTTGCCTATTTTGTTCTGCTGCTTTTTAAATGTGGCTTTTCTTTTGTGTTCACTGTGTATCACAACTAAAGGGAAAAGCGTGAATTTACAATAAAGCTCCGGGACCTCGGACGACGAGCTGCTGTGTGGCGTTCAAGGCCGCACCCCCACCCCCGGACCCCTTTGGGAGGTCCCCTCTTATTTTGTGCTTCTGTTGGGGCTTTTTTTGGGGGGGGCTGAAAATTCTGGGGCTTCCCCAAGCCTGCCGATGCGCCTCTCATGCTCGTGCAGTGTTGCAAGTGTGACATAAACACGCTTTGACCATCACTGACGGCAGGACCAAGGAACCAAATGGCGGCGACGGCCGAGTGACCGGCTCCTCCCCGCTGCCTTTGCTTCAGGTGCAGAGGGTCCCTGCCCCACCAGCCGCAAAGACCAAAGCAGAGAGGCTGGAAGAAATCCTCCTGAAAATGAGGGAGCCAACAAACATCGTGCAGGTGCCGCTAGGTAGGTGCGAGTCCAGAGCGCCGGGCGGGAGCCGAGTCCCGCAGTGGCGGGCCGGTCGAGGACGTGCTCAGATGGGGCGGCGAGAAGCACCGGGATGCAGGACGGACAGGGATGGGGAAGGACTGCCCTGGGCGGGTGAGGCCACATTCCGGCCACAGGAGCTCTTTTAAAGGCTGCTCTCTTCCTGGGGGAACGGAGTAACTTCCCAGTGGGTGGGGCAGAGCTTTTAACTGGAAAAACGCTGCCAGCAAAAGGCTTACAGATGTGCCCCGATCCAGGGGTGCCAATCCAGAAAGTCCCCGTTGATGGGTACCTTTATTTATTTTATTTATTAATATTTTATATTTATTTATTAATATTTTATATTTATTTATTTTAGAATTTTTGTATGTCGTCCCATTGCCTATAGCCTCGGGATGGCTCACATAAATAAATAAACATGATACAAATACAGTTAAAACCCAGAAACACCCTGGCTGCACAATTTAAAACCTATAGATATTATTAAGCGATGTTAAAATATTGTTGGAATAAAAAGGTCTTAGCCTGGTGCCGAAAAACAAATAACGACGGTGCCAGGCGGACCTCTCTGGGGAGCCCATTCCACAGCTGGGGCGCCACCACAGAGAAGGCCCTCCTCCGGGTACTTTGCCTCCTGATGCCTCTCCCGGAGGAGGGCCTCTGCCGCCAATCTCAAGGGGCGGGAGGGCAAATATGGACACAGGTGTTCCTTTAGGTATCCGTGTCCTTTATATGTAGAAAAGAAAGATCTGGTGTCGGGGCGCATTTGGCCCCAGAGCCTTTTAACTAGAGGTGCTGAGAACCCAAGACCCTCCACACGCGGCACCGATGGTGCAGGGTCTGGCTCTGTTCCCACTGCCTACGGGAACCCCGCTTCGCACCGTGCGTTTTACACCTTCGCATGTCAACAGATGAAACATACTAAAGCGCCTTCCTCTAACATCGCTCAGTGAAGACTGCGCTTCCCCGGCGGGGCGCGATCACCCCTGCGAAGCCAAGGGGCTTCTCCCTGCCCCAGTGCCCTATTTGGCACATCCAGGCCCTTCAGCAGAGGGACCAAATTGCTCAAGACGCTAGACGGTATTCAGGGAGAGTGCTGCGGTGCTGTAAAATATTTATCCCCCGAAGAGCGATGTTGAAATTGGAGGATCTGTGTGGGCCAGCAGAGTCTTCACAGAGTTAGGAATGTAGGCTTTAAGCCCAAGTACTGAAAATTACCGTGGGACTCTTAAAAAAAAAAAAAAAATGGATTGCATCAATACAGCATATATAGGAAGGTACGGGGGGCATCCATGTTCCATCTAACTCCCTGGCCTGACTCCTATGGCTGGGAGAATACATTACGCTACAGTAACAGGGATACATTTGTGTGATTTGCATGATCAGATCACACAGTTTCGCTTCTCTGAGCAAACATAAGACCTTTTTATTTAAACAATATTTTAACAACTTTTAATATCATCTCTAGGTTTTAATTTGCAGCCAGGGTGAATCTGGATTTTATTTGCACTTTCTGTATTTTGTTTGTTTATTTTATGTAAGCCATCCCAAGGCTCAGGCGATGGGACGGCATACACAAATTCTAAACAGACAGACCAAGGAACATGTGTACAACTGCAGCCGTAGCTGTTTTTGCAGGGAAAGAGGCCAAGGTGACAATCCTGTTCTTTGTAGTGTGTGTTCTGCGGAGGAAGAAAGGCAACTGGCGTGAATATCGTGAGGCTTTAGCACTGATGAAGGAATTCCGAAAAAATTACAAAGCCACAGTGGCCAATGAATCCAGGAAAATGAGTAAGAAGTGTGTGGATGCAGGTGAAATGATCAGAAGCCTTCCTGAAGGACCGGTGAGCGAGCAGGAGCTCAACGAAATCCCGCCTCTGGGCGCCCCAGAGGATGAAGGACTTTCTTCCATCTTACCAGAAAAGGGCTTTCCATCTACACTGGGGTGCTGAATAACCGACACAGAGGCCGGCCGGCTGGCCCACTGCAGCATGTGAAAAGCCCCTCACCCCAGGAGACTGGAACCGTACAGGTCAGGCATCTTTGCTTCTGGAATCACCTGTGAAATCAGGATGTTGAACAATCCAGGGCTTAAAGGACTGCTCAGAGTCACATGCAGAAAGGGGCTTAGTCCTACTTCAAGGTGAAACTTCAAAAAAGCCAGTAGAGAACGGATGAAACATAAGCACATCCCTTGAAAGGCAGTTCCAAAAGCACTTCCCACCTCAAGCATGTGCCTGAATCCACACGGCGGCTGCAAACAGCGGAATAAAGAGCTAAACTAGCCGTGGTCTCTGGTCTGATGCAGCACCTGTGGCTGAAAGAGCCCCCTTTGGCCAGCGTTCTCAGGACAGGACCCCCGTAGGAGCCACTGGAGGAAGGCGAGGAACGGCCAGCGCTAAGCGAGGCATTGCAAGGTGCCCTTTACCACGGATATCGCTGGCACGGTTGCACGCCGCCCTCGCACGCTCAAGGCCTTAGGCTGGGGGAGAGGTGACTCCTGCGCCCAAGCCGTGTGCTTGGAATGCCCCTTCCCTTCAGGGTGAGTCAAACCAGGGGGCGAGAGGCTGCCGTAGAGCCGACCTCCCTCGCAAGCACAGCTTTTTCCACCCAGGTTTGATCACACTTCCCTTTTTCTCTTGTATGACACATTCATAGATCCACATCCCTTTCCCCAAGGTTTATGGTTCTAGGAAATTTAATGTCATTAAACATTTAATCTACGGAATCACCATGCAATTAATATTCTGCTTTCTGCACCTATTTTTATTCCACAGCCCATTCTTTGACCTCCAAAAATGGGCTTTTATCACAGCCTGGTTTCCAGAACACGAGCAAGATGTACAGAAGCCATTTGTGGGTTGAATCATGCAGGGCAACTGCTATTTATTGCAGCGTTGCGAACGGCTTCCTAAGAGCCAGCAAGGCAAAAATTGCTCAGTTAGGGGAGGCCTCTCCACTACCTGCCTAGAGGAAACAGGTAAATGCTAGTTTGTTGTGAGCAGTGAACTCTTAACAAGTGAGAGTCAAAAGCAAAAGAACTTCTCCAGACCCATCAGTTCTAGGAGGAATCAGAGGCAGTTCGAAGGAAGGCGATGTGGCATTGTGCTGTCGCCTCTGACTTCGGTGACGCTAAGAATGAAAGATCTCCAGAACGTCCTCTCCATGACAGCCCTGCTCAGCTCTCCCAAATTCAAGGCTGTCACCTCCTTGATGAAGCCCATCCATCTCATAGTTAACCAAGGTTCCATTTAGATGCCAGGAAGCATTTCCTGACAGTCAGGACCCCGAGGGGGTGGAATGGGCTTCCGGGGGTGGGGGGGGTTGAGGCCCCATCGGTGCGGGTGTTCAAGGACAGGCTGGACGTGCACATGGTGGGCATGTCATGAGCGGAGCCGGCTGGTGCCAGGGGTCAGACTAGATGACCCAGGAAGCCCCTTCTGACTCGCCCTGTTTCTCTGTTTCCTTCTCCTCTTCTGCCTTCCGCTTTCCTGGCATGATGGTCTCCAGGGAGTCTTGCCTTCTCATGACGTTCGCGAAGCACGACAGCCTCAGCTCTGGCATTCCAGCACCCAGGGGAAGCGCTGGCTCCACTTGATCTAAGATCCATTTGTTTATCTTTCTGTCAGTCCCAGCTATCTGCAAAGCTCCCCTCCAGCAGCATGTTTCAAAAGCATCAGTTTTCTTCACTGTCCAGCTTCCACACCTATATATAATGCTTGGGAATACAACAGTGTGGATGGTTTTAGCCTTGAACTCCACTGAAATATCCTTATATTTGATTATCTTTTCTAGTTTCTTCATTGTTGCCCCCCCCCCCCCCCCAAGTTTCAGTCTCCTTCGAGTTTCTTGGCTGCAGGATCTCTTGAATTGATGACTGAGCCAAAGGATGCAATTTCCTTTTCTTCCTAATTGACAGTAAAGTTCTGTAATTCTTCTATGATCATGACTTTTGTTTTCTTAATGTTCAGCGGCAGTCCTGCATTCCTTCTTTCTTCTTTCACTTTTGTCAAGAGTTGTTTAAGTTTATCACTGCTTCCTGCCATTAGTATGGTATCATCTGCATATCTTAAATCATTGCTGTGTCTTCCTCCAATTTTCACTCTTTCCTCTGATTCTAATCCAGCTTCGTATGTTCTGTGTACAGATTGAACAGACAGGGAGATAAAATACACCTTTGTCTGATGCCTTTGTCTATGGGAAACCATTCTTCTCCTTCATGTTTCATGGTAAGAACAGCTTCTCATCCATGATACAGGTTACACACTGGGACGATCGCGTGCAGGGGCACCTCCATTTCTTTCAGGACCACCTGTAGCTGCTTGTGATCCACACATTCAAAGGTTTTGCTGTAGTCTGGAGAGATCGCTCTTCTTCTGAAAGCCTTTGGTGTGCTCCAGAAGCCAACAAGCATTTGCAGGAGGATCTCTAGTGCTTCTTCCTTTTGTCTGGCATTTCTTGCTCCATACGGGGAGTGTTGGTTGCAACACTTGCAGTATCACTTTGCTTGCGTGGGAAACCAGTGCAATGGTCCTGCGTTGCCATGCTCGTTTGCATCTCCTTTCTTGGGGATTGGAATGCATATTGTATGCTTTCAATCTGTGGGCCATTGTTTTGATTCCATATATAAATTCCAAATATTTATAAATTCCGTGTATTTGTTGTTAGCGTTTGGACCAATTCGCTTCCTGAAGCTTGGAATAATTCTATTGGCATCCCACCTACTCTGGGTGCTTAATTTTTTCCCAGTGCCTTCAGAACAGCTTTTCATTTTCTAATCTTGCAGGCTGTTCCTCATAAGATTCTTCTTTGAAGGAGTTTATTTATTTAGTTATTTATTTAAGGAATTTGTATGCCATCCTTTGTGGCAGCCTCAGGACGGCTTACACGAATAAAATTCCAATATATAACGATATAATATTATAAATAACATAAAAACATTCCACAATATATTCTCTCTTAATAAAAATTAGGAGTTGTCATCCTTTCATCTCTTTTGCATAATTATTCTGTAATTATAGTTGAAATAACCTTCTCTTTATTTTCTCCTGGTCAAATAGTGTGTCCCTGTTTGTCTTCCAGCATTCCTGATCTAGACCTGAATTTCCCTTTGATTTCTTGGTTCTTCTGGAAGAGGGCTCTCATTTTCCCCCTTTAGTTCTCTTCTGTTTCTTTGTCATTGGAATAGTTCGTTTTAATCGCTACATGATAGTTACTGAAAAGTTGCATTCAGGATTCTGGCCCTATTTCTGTCATTTTTTGCTTTTGTTTCTTGCCTACCCTTGGCAACCGTGTTTCTTCTGTCATCCATCTACTCATAGGCTGTTTTATTCGCTACAGGAATTGCCTTTTGGCATTCTTCCCTAATACAACTCTGCTTTTAGTCCACAGCTCTTCTGGTTCATGGTCAATTAAACGGAGTAATGCAAATCTGCTCCTTATGTGGACTTTAAATTCTGCAGGGATGTTACTTAAGTTGTATTTTGGCACTAAGTGTTTGTTGGTAATCTCTTTTAGTTTGACTCTGATCTTTGATTTTAAGGCTTGCTGGCCAATACTGCATTCTGCTTCTGGTCTTGTTTTGGAAGCAAGAAAACAGCTTCTCCACCTTCCGCTTACACAATCTGTTAAATATCTGTATTTGCCATCTGGTGAAGTCCATGAATACAGTTCTCTGAGTAGCTGCATGAAGTATGTGTTTGTGATGAATGGATGGATGTCGTCACAAAATTCTGCGAGTTGTTCTCCTGCGTTTCTCACCCCTAGGCCAAATTGTCCCCCAACATCTCCTTGTTTCCTAGTTTTGTGGTCCAGTCACCTTCGATTAGCTGCATGTCTTGTTTTGGTGTGTAGTCAATTTCTTCTTGAACCCCTGCATAAAAGTTTTGATTTCATCTTCAGTATCTGTTGAAGCACAGACTTGAAAGAGGGCTATGTTGGTAGGTTTTTCCACAGATTCAGACCGATAGTATGTGGTTGGATTTTGCATTGTAGCCTCTTTCTGCCTATGCTACATCTTAATACCGGCTCCGGTCCATTTCTTCCGAGGAAGGTGCTGGCATACAAAATAGCATTAATTCATGCAGGATTAGTGCAGGGTTGTAAGCCCTGCCTCCAGCAAAACTCGGGAGCTTGGCTTCCAGAGGAAAAAGGTGGGCTTTGTGTGTTAAGCTTTCAGTTTTAGCTTTAGTTGAAGCTCTACTTCAGCTTTAGCTTTAACGAGTATCTTGTTAGTATTTTAAGAAAATAATTAAACGACTTGCCCTTCCCTTTCGCAAGATGCATTGATTGCTCCTTGTGTCTTCTGGGAGACTTGTACACGGGGAAAAGAATTAAGTGGCGGCAAATTTATTTCCTCCCGCAGCAGCTGGGAATCTGGTCAGAGAAACAGAACTCTTTGCAACTGCCGTTTGAGAGACATCCCCGGTTATCAGTGCGAGTGGAAGCTCTCTGGGACAGTTTGAGCCACTGCAATATCCCAGATGCACAGCTGGCGGTTGGGACTGGTGGGAAGCTGACGCGCCTGAGGCTGGCCTGTAGCCCATGACTAGGATAAGGTTCCTGTGCTTGCAGGGAGGGGCAGGCTCAGGCTCAGGCTCAGGCTCAGGCAGAGCTGCTGTGCTTTCCAGGACAAGGCAAGCTGAGCTACAGCAATGGGTTTGCACCCGTAGATGTGAATATATGCCCTGCGATGGGCAAACAGTAATGCAGGCACACACATGGACGCTCAGCCTGCCTCCCTTCCGACCCCGTTGTCAAGAGAAGCGTGTTTTACCGCTCCAGATTCACTCCTACTTAACTTCGTTCCACAGACCCTGTGTGAGAACAAGCCCACCCCACTCTGCTCCCTGCCAGTCCCGTGGGTTGAGAACCTGGGAGTGGGTGCTCTTCCCTGCTTTCACGGATCAGTGGCTGAATGTACACTTTCCTCGACGGCCCCTTAGCAACTTCTGCAGGGTCTACAATTACAAATGGATTGAAGTTTGAAATAAAGGAATTCCAAGAGATGGGATCCCCATGCCAGCTGTGCTAGGGCTCGCCTTCCGATGGGGGATTGCTGCCTTTCTCAGGCCACCAGCTTGGCTGAGCTAAAGCAGAGAAGATTGTGATGCACAACACACAATCCTTCCCCAAGCTGGTGGTCTCCAGATGCGTCGGGTGGCCACTCCTGTCCTTTCCAGCTTGGGGAGGGTCATGCAACTGATCTGCTCTTTCCTATCTGGTTCTCTGAGCTCATTTTAGGTACAGGTGCTCAAACTGGCAGTGTCTCAGCGTGATATAGTACAATACTTGCGAAAAGCAGGGCAGTTTCCTTCTGGTAGCCACACTTGGCTTAGGCTAAAGGATTTTCACTCTCCTGGTCTATGGAACTTGTTTAGAACAGTTACAGTGGCTTAACCGCCCCTCTCCCAACCCCCCCCCCTTAACTGACTTGTGTACAGTAACCCACAAAGACAAACACAAATTAGTTTCTCGGTAAACAGTTTTATCAAAAAAAATCTGATGAAGCCACAGTGATTCAGTTGCGATCTCAAAATGATGCTTTGTCTTGTACTGCACTGGTTTTCGGTACTAAACCGAAGATATACATCAAAGCACAAATGACTGAAAGCACACGGGGTTGGCTGCCGGGGTGCAGGAAGGGGAGAAATACAGCAACGTCTGCTCCTTGAAACCATTAGGACAATTAAACACTGGAAAAAAGTGTCGTACATGAAATCCCACCAGTTAGAGCCAAGAAGTATTTCGTTTTGTTTGCATAGTGGCAGCTACCTCTAAACTGCTTGCGATGTTTGGAAAGAGCGGCGGTGGGACAGGTGCTTCGCATCTGACCTCGGCTGTACAAATCTTAGAAAATGGATGGTGCCCACCGGAGAGCTCCACGGAGACGGGGCAGCTTTGACCTCACCGTGGGCATTCAGTGCAGCGGCAGTCTCAGCGGCTGCCGTCCCTCGCCAGACATTCATGCCCGTACCGGGCGCTGGGCAGGGAATGTGTCTTTATGGGACTGCGTCTCGCTCTCTCTGAAAGCCAGCACGGTGTTGGGATGGCGCCTTCCTGAAGGCAAGAGCGCCTCTGTTCACGGGTCAAGTGCAAAACCGAGATGCCGGCACAGTCCTAGGAGGCTCGACAGAGAGCACTGCAGGCGGCCCTTAAGCGACGCTCCGAGGCCCGTCTTGTTTTTTAAAAAATCAGTCTTTAAGGCTTATACTTTCCTCTCGCTTGGCTTTCATTGAGAGCACGACAGCAAGGTGCTTGTCCGGCCCATACTCCGTGACGGGGCCGTCTTTGAAGAGAAAGAACACTGACAGTCATATCATAAAATGCACTACAATCATCTTACAAAACCCAATCTTTTGGCACTTTTTCCTTCATCTCTTTACCAACGGCCACAGCCAGCCAGCCCCAGAAGAGTGCGCAAGACATCCTTTTCCATTAAAAAAAAAGATCCAGAGGGTCAGAGTGGACTTCTGGAATCTGACTGAGTCTTTGGCAGTTCAATCATTCGGTTCCCGTCCAAGGTCCCACCAACCCTTCCTGTCAGGGAATGCCAAAAGGAACCCTGCAGCCACAGCAAAGCGCCACGCAGCAGTGCGATCCGCCTGGCTGCCCAACTGGGCAGAACCCCGTTTTGAAGCAAGGCGGACGGGAGCCGAGCCGCAGGAAGGTGGTGCCGGCCGATGCAGTGGAAGGGCTCTCGGCTGCCATGCGTCTCCCTGGTGGAGGGGGGAGTGTGCGTTCGCTTCAGAGGAGACTGCATCCCGCTTGACCCGTCAGCAAAAAGGGGTTAAGCTGAGATCGGGGCTGCCGGGGGCAAGGGAGTCAGGGAAACTCCGGGACAACAGTCCTTGCAGCACCGGGACAACCCTTCTCAGTTGCCTGGAATGCCTTCCCAGCTGAACGGCAACACCTGGATCAGAAGATGGTCGCTTTTGAGGCCCCTGCTTCCCTAAACGGGGAAAGGGCCCCCCGGAATGCGTTCGGCAGCCTGCAGGGCCACCTGCAGAGTGGTGCAAAGGCCTTCACGCTGGTCCGGCTGGCACCAGAGGCAAAAGCGCTCTGCTGGCCGCTCGCGATACTGAATCGCCCTCCGAGGGCAGCTGCCCCTACCCCCTTTTGCTCGCTTGCTTGTGCAGTTATGTCACGGCAGAGTGAACCTCCACGTCCCCCTCTAAGTCGGGGTGCGAGGCAGGGAAGGAGGCACGGCGGGCACCTCTCTCCCCCTTTCTAGTCTCTAATTTGGTCCTCAGTGCCCACACGAGCCCGCCCTATTCTCCTTCACTCCCGGCACTCTGGACACACGTATTTTCAACACACAGAGAGACAGAAAGACAAACGGCAATGCAGGCGTCTGAACACCTGCAAATGAACCTTACTGGAGCGCCTTGCCCGTTTCACCCCCCCGTTTCACGAGGGGCTTCAGCGCCTTCACTTCGAGGTGCTGGCCTGCTTCCCAGAATTGTGTGGTTAGTTCCCTTGGCCACGGGAAGGTGGTTTTTCTACCCAAGCAGCGGGACGCCCGCCATCCCATGCTGCAGGCGAAGCCCCCTGACGACTGCTGGCTTCGACAACCTGTGCGTGAAATGGTTGTGTGCACCCACCTTTTTTAAAGAAAAGACACGCCACTCCCTACCCCGAAGCACCCTTAAAGGCCTGAGTGTACCTAAAATAGGTCTTTGGATCATGGTCATTTCAAGGAAGAAACCAGTCAATTCACTCATCGTATTTTTGGATGCATACTTAGCTTTTAAAGGTGTGTGTGTGTGTGAGAGAGAGAGAGAGAGATTGGGGAGGGAGGGAGGGAATGAGAGAGAGAGAGAGAGAAGCAGACATACAATCGATTACAACACGGGCGCATTCACCTGGACGCCAAGACTTCTCTTTCAGCATATGCCCGACTGAAACCTGGACTTGTTCCTACAGAGTGTGTGGAACACTCCTTTGTGCCTTCTGTGTGCTGTCTTGGGATTTCCAGAAAGTGCAGCGATAAGCGATGGCTCTCCCAAGACCAAGGGCAGACTATACCACCTGTTTTGCCAATTATTCTAGAAAAGGACAGCTGATACAGGTAAAGGTTCTGGCCGTTTGGACAAGAGCTTGATCAAGGCCGGTGTGGACAAAGACCTGCTTCCCACCACATTCACCCAGAGCCGCACTACCAACAGCTCCAAACCTGGCTTTGCCAAAGCATGCGTAATCTCAGTTTCCCGAAGGATGCCCCTGTCCCTTGCACTCCTCTTAGGCAGCTCTACCCCTTAGGTGCACCGATAAAGAGTAAAATGTAGAGAGCCCTGCGTTTTCCCATCCACACACACTTCTCTTTACAGCAGTGAGCTAAACGCAGTGCTATTCTCTCTTGTTCCACCACTAGAAGCAAGAGGGCCAGCTCTGATCTCCTGCCCTGACCACAGTAGGAAAAACAGGAACTGGCTCCAATGGGGTCTTCAAGGGCCAAATCCAGCGCGACATTTGGCCTTCACAGGGGAACACAGAACTGATTCTCTGACCCCATGCGCATGGAAGCACGACGTTCGAATACGATGCCCGCATACGATGTTTCCAAGGATGATTCTGCAAAAGCAGGTTCATCCTAGATCCCTACAGGATAACCAAGTCGTTCAAATGATGCACCTTGTCATAAGCCTTTTCCTTGTGCGTGTTAAACCACTTTAAAAAGGCGTTCTGTGCTCATCAGATGTTAAGCTGTAATAGCCACTGACCTGAATCGCTTCGATCCCGTCCCTCAGAGAGGACTTTTAGGCAATCTTTGATCTCGCCTATGAAGAACCACCTCCCAGTTCCCTTTTCTTACAAACTGGCCACAGTTGATGCACCAAGAAAGGCATCTTGAAAAGGCAGCCAAAATAGCCTAGTCTTGATTGTGGTTTGCGGTAGCGGTTATTTTGAGAATAATACTAATTGCTGAAAATTCTCAGCAGGAAAAACTGCAATTTAGATACAGACTTTCTGTCTCGTGTCCCTTTTAAAAATGCAGTGCAGAGCAATAAAACGCTTTAGCTTGCAATTCTACATAGGCTAGGAAAGAAAATAAATGGACTTCCTTCTAAATAAACATGCTGGGTCCTTGCACTTCTACAGGACAGACTGGCAACAGGGAAACCAAATCTGATTCCAGCCCCCGTTACGGGGAACCTGTACCAGCTCAAAGCCCATTTGAATTCAAGGCACCAGGCAGCAAAAAAGTTTCTCTTCACCCGGTAGACCCCTGAGAGTCAGGGAATTCTCTAAGTGCCAAATCTGCACAGTTCAAACCAGCCAAAGCTGATGTTGCACAGTGCAGACGGGAAAAGCGCCACCCTTCAAGAAAATCACTGCAGCCAGGAAGCTGGAAATGCCGCCGGACAGAGGTGGAATCGAGTCAGCCTGGGACAGAACTCCTTCCTTGACAGGACCCAAGCAACTGACCACGAGGGGAGGGGAGGTCCTCGTATGGAGCCTGGCAGGGCGATTTCGCTCCGCCTGGCTTTGTAAAGGGGGTGCCCTGGTTCAAAATGGAATGCGATTCTACACGTGATTCCTGAAGTGCTCTGATCATGTTGAATAGTCTAAAGGATTCTGTTCCTTGACTCTCAAGACACTAGGTCTGCCTCCCTTTAAGTAGCGATTAGACTGGTCTGCTGTTTGTGGCTTCCCATTTCCCATTTTCATAGCTTTGAAGCGGTGAACGTGGAGGAGCCGCAATGCCAGCATGTCCTGCCATCTTTGTCCGGAGGGGCTCTCCAGGAAGCCCCCAGGGCCCCACTCCCACCGTGTGCCAGGGGATTCAAGCGGCTGCTCTGAAAGGGTCACCATGGGAGTTTCCGCTTGAAAGGCTCATGAACCAGATCCGCGGATGCCTTCCTATCCCGTAATGCCGTAACAGCTACGATGCCCTTAAAATACAAGAAAGTGCTTCCCAGGACTTGATAACACGCAAACGACCTTGCGAGGACCTTTGAATCTGTTCACCGGGGAAACACTGCAGGCGGGCGGGCCGGAAGTACGCACTCGCTCTGGCCCATTCCTAATTCAAGCCCGGGATGGGCAGTCTGAGCCCCTGCACCAGACCGCTGCCGCTCAACAGCCACCGAAACCACACCCTGGAGGGCTGAAGGGCTTCCGGGCACCCCAGTCATCTCATTCACACGAACCTTTGCACACGTCTCCAGCCACGGAAGTCATTCCGAGCATCACCCCTCTTCTGAAAAGTGCAACGCTTCCCGCGGGTTTTATCCCCGAGGATGTTAAGCCTGGCTGCACAGAGAACATGACGAGGAAGATGGGGGCAATGCCGTGCTGGCGAGAGGAAGCTGGCTGCCCCCGATTCCGTCTCGCCCAGAACAGGGGGCCTTGCCCTTTCCACACAGCTGGCCTGACCCAACCAGGGCGGGTCTTAAGTTCGGAAAGTCTGTGGAAATGCAGTCCACCAAAAGAGGCCTTCCTGGGCCAGACTGACTGAGCTGGGCATGCGAGGCAGACAGCGCACCCAGCGCCCCGCGTACCCTGCTGTTCCCCGGACCACAGATTCAGAAACAGATGGTATGTGTGAATGCATTTCTGCGTGTCCGCTGTTCAACCGGCCGGCCGCCTTCCCAGCTGAAGGCTGCTCCTGAGGTTGCAGTCATGACAGAAACAGCCGTCCCCAAAAGACCCCGACCCACAGCTGCTCACCCTCCGCCCCAGGCTCACGGGGATGCCTGAAGCATTTGCATACTGGGGTGACTCGGCAGCAGATGGGAGCCGGCGTCCTTCCGCGCAGGGCGGGCCGTGGGCCTGCTTCTGCAAGGAGAGGCAGAGTCTCAGAAGCAGGCCCAGCAGGAAGAGCGCGTGGCGGATGTTCGTGGAAAGACCCCGGCTCCAGTGGGAGCCGGGACTCACTCCTCTTACCTTGCGAAAGGGAAAGCCTAATGGGAGGAGGGGAAGCAAGGTGACCAAACAGCTCTCCATCCTTCTCAGATTCTTTTGATCAAGCTCACATTATCTAAAAAGGCAACCTTGTTCAGCAAGTGCTACTTTGCACCGGAAGTACTCTTGGACCGCAAGAAATACTGATCCGCTCTCCCTCTCTGACTTGCCACGGTCCTGTTCTCGCGCTCAAACTTCCGCTGCAGCTGCAAGGCCAGCCTCCGGTCTTCCTCCTCCTGCTGCAGCTCTTGCTGCACCTCCCTCCTCCTCTTCCTCCTCCTCCTCGGGGGAGGGGAGGCAGCCCCCACCCTGTGGCAGTCCGCCTGCCTTAGTCTCTTGATGGCGCCAGCCTGCTCCAGGTGCTTCATTTTGCACTGTCTCTTTCGCCCCCGCCTCAGGGACGAGGGGTCGCCGACGGGTCTCTCCACGCACAGGCCGTTCTGCAAGCTGCTCAGTTCGCTGTCGTTCAGGTATTTGAGCCGCTTCCTCCCCGCCACCTTGACAGGAGTGCTGAGCAAGCCATTCTCTGGAAAAGTCGAGGCGGCTCTGATTACTTTCCGAGGCACTGCTCTGGCATCCACGTTGAGGCAAGACCCGGCCAGACGCAACGCTGCTTTTGTATCGGAGACGTCCGAAATTCCGGCATTCAGGGTGTTTTTGCTGGGCCTGGCCACGGGTACGGTGGGAGCCGTGCCCGCTGCCGCCGCCTCCAACTCCCTCTTGATATTGCCGGCACTTTCCAGCTTGGCCAGGCAGATGGAGGGGAAAGAGTCCAAGTCGGCCGGCATGTGTGTGACTGTATCTGGCGGCAGGAGATCGCTTGGCAGCTGCGGCGGCTCTTTGACAAGCAGACTTACGTTGGGAGTCAGGAACTCTTCGCCCGTCTCTGCGGCCAGGGAGGTCAGGGTAGCTTTCGAAAGTGTCTTTTTGATCTGGCGTTCCTGGAATATTTGCTCCCATTTTTTCAGAATCCGGGGACTTGTTTCATAGGTGGTTGGTTTCTGCAGGCTCCTGGTCAGATTCCTCGGAGTAGACTTGATGATTAGAGGACTCAACACCCGGCCGTCAGGAAGCCGCTTTGGGGGGGTGCACGGGGAGCACACAATCGGTTTGAAATGGTTGAGCTCTTCCGAGATGCTGTCGTTGCTCTCGGGGCTGATGGAGCGCTCCGGCTTCTGGAGGAGCGGGATCGAGGCGGCGGTGCCTAGACCGAGGCGCTTATCGGCGGTCAGGTCTGGGGCCGAGAGGCAGCGGTTGTTCTGGGTGGATGAGAGAACCCCGACAAGGGGGGTCGACGCGCCCGTTAACAGGTTTGCCTGCCAGACAAACGATTGCAGTCAGAACCATAGGCAAAGAGGTCACTCTGGAAGGTCGCGATGAGATACCGGCACCGCCGCGACGGCGCTTTGTGCCGGCAGAGCGGTCTTGGCCTGGCCGAGTGCGGTGAGTGGGGATGTGGGGCCGGCTGGCCTGTGGCACGGAGGGCGGCACAGGCTCCAGTGTGCCTTCTGCCGGGCACAGCCAAGCCACACCGCTGTGCGCTCCTGCGGGCAGGCGCAGACGGCAGGGTGGGTGCCCCTCGGAAGGGGGCAGCGGGGGCTTGGGGATCCCGCAGCCCTTCTGAAGTGGCGAGGGGGCAGGGTGGGCGGGAGGGAGGCCAACACGCAGCAGGCCAGAGGTTCCCCGAGCCCGGGCAGCAGGCGTCCACGAAAGCGACCGTCATCAGACCTGCCGGAGGAATTGGAGTGGGCAGACCTGGCCGAACGCAGCAGAACCCAGTCCCTGTGCCATCGCTGCAGCCCCGGTTTGCTCCGTGTTTGCTCCCTGCAGCTACGGACAGCTCAGGCCAGCGCTGCCGGCTGGAGGTTGCCCCACCGCCCGGGGCCGCTGCAGCAAGTCCTTCCACCGGGCAGCCGCAGGGCCAGGGGAAGGCCAGTGCTGCCCCCGCGATGGCTCCGCTTCTGTGGCCCACTGGGGAAAAAGCCCCTTTGGCTGCCCCTGCAGTGGGCAAGGTCCCTTCTCCCCTGTTCCGTGCCGGCTTCTGGGCTCCCCACGGTGACAGTGGCGGGGAGGGGGAGGACTGCTGGGGCCCAGAATCAGGTGGGGAGAAGAGGGAGGGCGGACCCGAGTCCAGGCGGGCCCAGTCACCGGTCGGTGTCTTTTGGGCAGGGTGGCTTGTTGTGCCGTGCAAACCTTCCCTTGCTCCCTTCCCCTCTTTTTAGGGATACAACCTGCTCGGAAGCCTGATGGGCAGGTCACGATCGCGGACGGCCCCGAGCCGCACGGCCGGCGGAGGCCTCTGCCAGATCAGCGCCGATGCCGCAACACACACAATCCCACTGCGTGTGGCACTCGGGCGGCTCCATGCAGAGGCCTCGGGACGTGTTCACGCAACAGGGACCAAAAGGGCCGCCCTGCGTTTTCCGAAGGGTCACGAGGTACCTTTGTTCGGATGGTGGCGCACTGCTGCCTGCTCTTGGATCTGTCCCGAAAGGTATCGTTGCAGCTCTGGCTCCTTTCGACCTTGGAACTCAAGTGCCTACAAATGTTAAAAGAGAAGTTTCGTGGAAGAAGCACAAGATGCGGATCGGTTTGCTTACGCCATCGGGTCGTCGACAAAGGCGACTGTCATTATGCCTGTGGCATCCTCGGTGCCAAGCCCACCTCTATGCGGGGGGGGGGGGCGGGGGGGGGGACTGGCTTCTGACATGAGCCTGGGGCATCCACACAGCGCAGGGCTGTGCTGGCAGGCTGTGGGGGAGACCGCTCCGATCCAGCCGCCCCATTCTTACACCTGGAAATCAAATTAGTGGTGCAATCCCACGTCAGCTTAGGGCGAAGGAAGGAGTACAACTCCCAGCATCCCCAGCCACCATAGCATAGGACTTGCCTTTGATTGTTTTTATCACCTTTAAGAGCCTCCGCTATCTTTTAATACAGTGAACGCCTTTCAAAAGGTGGTGGGGGAAACGGGCTGGCTGTCACATGCTCTGTGTGGAGCACCCAACCCAGGTCACGAAGCCGCCGGGACCCGTTCAGAAGGACAGCCCCGATTCCGAGGCTGTATCCTTGCCATCCCTGCAGGTCCCTTGGCATTCCCGTGGTGCTGCCCCACAGGGACGCCAAGAAATACTTCAGCGAAGGGGCGCAATGCCCCAAATCGACACATGTTCATGCACGCGACCGCCCGATACTTCCTAGCCAGCCATTGATTCCCAGAAGAGGCCCAGCATCCTCCCCTGCCCTGCCTCCCTCGTGCCCCTCGGCTGGCCCTTTCCTCCCCAGCCAAGCCACAGTCTGGCTCAGGACTCACCCAGCCAGCAGCGGGACTGAGCCGGCACTGCCCTTGGAGACAAAAGCCGACCGATGTGCAGGTTTGGCCTGGAACGGTTCCTCATTCTCAGAATCGGAGAGGCGCTCAGGAAACTGAAATGAATCAGGGGAAGGTTAGCTGACATTTTACACCCGGTTTCCCTCTGGCCACACATGGCTTTGTCTGACAGGAGTTCTGAGGTCTGAGCCCGGGGTCTTTACGCTGGAACACATGCTGAGCAGAGCAGGGTTTTTTAAAGCTGCAACCAGATTTGAGAGAGGAGTGTGATGGGCGAGGGACTGAAATCGCACAGCGGGAGCTCCTGAGCAAAGGACTGAGATACTGAAATATTTTGGCATCACAAAATTTCCCGAAACAGAGAGAGAAAAACCGGGTGGGGGACGAGAAATGAGAAGGCACAAGAGGGCACAAGACGACAGGGTGCTGACGTGTGTTACGCGCCCATTTCCCAAAGGACGCAACGTTGTGCCTCCATTTCTATGGCTACTGACGGACTCTGCACAAAAGGGGCCTGGGAAGGATTCGCCCCATTGCTGCCCACGCACGCTGCCCTGCACTGGCGCTCGCACGATACATACTTGAAAATAAGTCCAGTTGAGATCAAATGGGGCCGGGAGCCTGTGACAGGCGCCAAGTCTGTCTCCGCAGTTCTTTCGGGAGCAGCTGCGATCCGTTGTGGCGCTAACAGCCACACTCTACGCACGTCGACTCAAAAGTACACCCCGCTTTATTCTACAGAGCTCACTCCCAGGGACGGGGCTAGAGGGCCGTGGCCCGAGGCACCAAGCTGGGATCGGAAGTACCGCCAGTCCAGCTTCCTCCCCTTGCACTGGCCCTCTGGCATGTGCATACAGCTTGGAGGAGGAGGAGGAGGAGGAGGAGGAGGAGGAGGAGGAGGAGCCCCATTTCAGTGCTTCTAAGTGGGGCAGTCCAGATTCACAGGGAGCGGCCCTGTGCGGGTCCACATGGCTGACCAGCACCGTCTGCAGCCCCCCACAGTGTGAGTGGGTCCATTCCAGGGGAAAGGGGGCTTTTACCTCCTCCCAGAAGACCTCGCTAGGATATTTATTTATTTATTTATTTAGAACATTTCTATGCCGCCCCATTCGCAAAAAGCCTCGGGGCGGCTTACAAAATAAACAAACAATCATATAATTAACCTTAAAAATCGGAAACATCTCGGCACAAGTATAAAAACCCAATAAATACAATCCATCATTAACAATTAAAAGAACTTTTAAATAAAAAGGTCTTGGCCTGGCGCCGAAAAGCAAGTAACAACGGCGCCAGGCGGACCTCTCTGGGGAGCGCGTTCCACAGGCGCGCATTCCACAGGTATTGCACACAGCGGGGCTGGGAGGGCCTTGGGGTGAGACGACAGGCCATCACCGTTCAACAGAATCCCTGGCTCGCGCGAAGCTACTTCTCGGAGGGAGGGGCTGGTCTCCTTCTCCGGAAAGAAGTCCCACTTCTTTCCCATCCTTCTGTGTGCTACAACCACAGGCCAGCTGGGGTGTTGGAGGGGCAGGGAAGAAACCCGTCTGGCAAAGAACTCCGCTACGGTTATCCAGCGGCAACTCACACGCTCTTGGGTCATCCTGGCCATGAAGGACTCCTCCCTCTTCTGCTCTTCTGTTTTCCTCCTCCCCGTCTCAGGGTCCTCCGGAATCAGCCTGTGAAGAAAATCCTCAGGGGTTCTGTCTTCTTGCAGTTTTTCTTCCCTTAGCTAGAGGCACAGAAGAGAAGGCACTTTACACACGGCCAGAGCCCTCTTCTCCGAGGCCCCCTCCAATCACCTCTGCGCCCGCCCGGCAGCCGCACTGCTCCTGCACAGGGAGGCTCGATTCCTTGTGCACGTGGAGCGACGACGGAGTGCTTTCGGGTCCTAAGTCCGAATGATCCCTGGGACGGGCCTGATGCCCGGGGGACGGAAAAGAGCTTTTGCAATCCTGGCGCGGGGAGCAAGGGGGCTGGAGTTGGGCCTGGCAGGCTCTGTGACCTTTGGCCGCACACTGCCTGGTCTGGGCGGCCCTGGAGCACACGGCTGCAGACGGATCCAGCACTCTCTCGTCAGGAGGGAGAGGCCTCCGTCCCTCCGCCCATCGCTTGGCGGGAGAAGACTAGGCAGGCCAGCCAAAGCAACGCCGCTTCTGTTGCTCATGAAGCTGATACGGCCAAGGCCAAGGCCTTCTCACCGAGCCCTAACGATTAGGTTTCTTGGGGGGAAATCTGCTGATGCAGAAGTCCCCAGGCATAAGGTTTAGTGCCAGTCATAGCCTAACTGCCTGTGATACCAAGTTCCTTCCTTCCTCTTTGTCTGCCTTCCAGGGAAAAACCAGGGAGAACTGATGCGATCTATAAAAAGCCGCGTTCACAAGAGACGGGGAGCTGCTCCTTGCTAACTGCACCGGCACTCGGTGATGTGAAGGACCTCTCTCCACAATATTGTAGCATTAATAAATGCTGGATAATAAATCAGCTGGATCACAGTTTTCTCTTTCATTGGGCTCGTGCTTTCTTTAAGTTTTTCCTTCCACAGGTCGCGCACTGCAGAGGATGGCTACCTCCATCTGTCAGCGGGAAGGACGGGTGTTTTCAGGACAGCGGTGCGGCCGTGAGAGGCACAAGAAAGCAACTGGCCAGCTTCTAGCAAGCAGCGTGCTTCAGCTGGCAGAGACCTCCTCACCTAGCTTTGCACCTGGCTACCGGGTGCAGCAACTTCTCCCTTCTGTACCTGTCCATGTATCAAGGTCAGGCAGGAAGCCTTCTTGCCAGTGCTGCATTTCCTGGAGTCCAATGAGCAGCATTCCAGGAGACAGGACCCCAGCGTGTGGGATGCCCCCACTGCTCATATATAGGGGTCACCAAGTCTTGCGAGGTTTCAGCACCAGGGAAAGACCCATTTGTTCACCTGGTCTTGGGATTGTTTCCTCTTTTCTTTTGTACTCTTTACCAGCGACTATTCCCCCTTGTTTTATTTTAACTAGGTGTTGTTAGCCACAAAGTCGTGTCTGACCCATTGTGACACAATGGACAACATCCCTCCAGGCCTTCCTGTCCTCCACCATCCCCGGAGTCCACCCAAGCCCACACCCACCACCCCAGTGACCCCATCCAGCCTCCTCATCCTCTGCCGTCCCCTCCTTCTTTTGCCCTCAATCCTTCCCAGCATCAGGCCCTTCTCCAGGGAGTCCTTCCTTCTCATCGGGTGGCCAAAGCATTTGAGCTTCAGTTTCAGTATCTGGCCTTCTAAAGAGCAGTCAGGGTTGATCTCCTCCAGGACTGACCGGTTCGATCGCCTTGCGGTCCAAGGGACTCACGGGAGTCTCCTCCAGCACCACAATTCAAAGGCCTCTATCCTTTGGCGCTCGGCCTTCCTTATGGTCCAGCTTTCACAGCCATGCATTGCAACTGGGAAAACCATAGCCTTGACTGTACACACTTTTGTCGGCAGGGTGATGTCTCTGCTTTTTAGTGTGCTATCTAGGTTTGCCATAGCTTTCCTCCCCAGGAGATACTTTTGTTAATTTTGTATTACTTTCCTATGTTTTATTGTTTGTACCCCACTTTGTAACTATTTTGTAATGACAAGTAGGTTAGAACTTACTTAAATACCTAAAATTATTATAATGCACTGTGGGTGAAGGCAGATTCAGAACGACAGTTGGTTTGCCAGCTACTGCGCCCTGCACCAACTGGGGCCAAGGTGGATGGGCATGGAGCAGAGCTTGCCAGACGCAGAATCTGCTGCACTGCCTTCTGGTCCACTTCCAGGTTCAATGCCAGGTGCTCTTCATAACCTCCAAAATAGCTTGGAAGAGGAGTAACTTCAGGGTGACGTTTCCCTACACGACCTTGTTGGGCACCTTCCTCAAAAGGACTGCTCTGGGTGCACGTCACCGTTGGGCATGTGACAAGCAGTGACCCATAATTTATTTATTTATTTATTAAAACATTTCTATGCTGCCCCTTGACAAGGCCTCGGGGCGGCTTACAACATAATAAGCCTTTTCCACTGTGGTGCTCCTACTCCGGCCTGCTCTCCCCAGGGAGACTCCCCCAGTCGTCCAGGCCTTTTGGCTTCTGAACTTCCATGCTTGGCTTTCAGGGCCTTCTGCTACTTTTTAAGAGAAACATGAAACAGAGCATTGCACTCCCGTTTTTAAAAGCTGAGCATCTGCAAAGGGAAGGCCTGGCACGCAGGATAAGAATTCCCTAAATATGTTAACAAAGAGTGACCATGGGGAATGGCAAGCTGGGATGCCTCCAGCATCGGAAAACACTCTGCTTCCCGGTGCCCAGCGCTCACGCCCTGCTTGCGTTCCCCCCGCTGTGGCACTCGGTCGCGTCAGAATGTTTGGCCAGAGAAGCCTGTGACCTGATCCAGCGGGGAACCTCTGAAGGAATGTGAGCGGTGCCAGGCAGCTCCGAACGGACCGGCACTCGGTGTTACAGTTCCACAGAGGCTGCACTCGGACAGATGCTGCTGCAGGCCATCCTTGGCAGAGATGGAAGTCTCCCTGAGTGATTACGTGCAAGATCCCACTTTGCACACAGTGAAAAAGGGCAAACGCTTATAGGAGTAAACTGGGATAGATTTTTGGAAAATTCTCCCAAGAAATCCTCCAGAATTTCTGTACAGAACCCTTAGAAATCCCACGGGCTCCCTCAACACAATCCGCTGCTCTCAATCCTTTTTGGGGGAGGAAGTAAGACCTTGCAGATCAAAATGAAGGCCAGCAACTTTACTACGCTGCTGCTGCTTCTTTGGGGAAGAAAATATTTGTGGAAGAGTGGTTTTCTATTTGTCTCAAGTTATTTTTATACTGCCTTACTGGCAAAGCCAGCTCCCATAATTCAAAAAGAAAGCAAAATCAACAGAAGAAAAATAAAACCTGCTCCTTTTCGAGCAGATTCTTGGAGCACTAGGAATGGTCCAAAGCTCTGCTCCCCAGCTCCTGCCCCACAGAAGCAGTTCCATTAAGTACTCCCTGGAAGGGTGCACCTTGAAACTCTGCCTGCCAACAGGTTAGTACGGAAAAGAGGACGCCTTCCCTGATCCCCGTGATCAAAATATTCCACGTTCTGAGAAACCACAACGAGATATGTAAGCAGTCCTTGCTCTTCTGCAACTCTGAATCCTCCATAGCAAGAAGGCTTAACACGTTGCCTGCCAAAGCTGTCGACAGCAGGGGCGTTCACACAAGACTGGAAACACAGAACTCCATTTACAGAGGCTCAGAAACCGGGAATCCCTCACACCCTGGCATAACGCTGGTCTCAGGCAGGGCTGCCGGGCCCCACAGCAGGCCTGAGCATCCATGAGAGGGAAAGGAGAATGAAAAAGAGGCCATGTACCTACTGGTTAGCATTGCAAAACAAAGAGCACAGGTCTCATCCTGGAGAACTAGATTCCCTGCGTACATGTAGTAGGTAGTTGCTACTAGCAACTGCTTTAAACGTCAAGAGACACTGGTCCAGAGACAAGGCCGCAGAAATCTCACGTATCATTCTCTCCGATATACCTTTCGCAGCTGGCTCTTATATTCCTCATGAAGCTCTCCGGCCTTGCTTAATGTGATCGGCGCTCTGAATATGAAGTCTGCAGGCAGAGAAATAGGAGAAAAAGTTATTCGGCACGCAAGTGCTCACAGAAGCACAACAGCAATGCGCCGATTTTCCTGTGCAGGCACCCAGTACGAGGAGGCACCCCCGCATGCTGAAGTTGTGTGCTAGCAAAGGACACCTGCAAAGCTGCTCAGCCCCTCAACCCGACTCTCAGGGGTGCAACAAGGGGGCACAACTTTCCAGCAAGAAAGTACTCTTGGTGCACACTGTAAACAGATCTCACGTGGCCTGGAGTTAAACGCCTAGCATCAGTTTTACAAGCGGTCACACCCACTTCTGCAAGACACAAGTCCAGACAAATCACCTGTGGAACCAGAGAATTCTTACGAAGGTATCCAAGACAAAGGCTTCAGGCCATCTAGCTCATCAGTTGTTAAGAGAAAGCAATGCGCATCACTATGCACAGGAAGTTTACAGGGAAAAAAACAACCCATTCAGGAACTGTAGAATCCTTCTGGCAGGCTTTAAGGCAAGCGTTTTTAAGTTACAGAACCCCTGACCACAAACCGCATTCAAGTAACAGCAACCAGACCCTTTCCAGGATAGCACAAACCTTCCCCACTCAAAAATAAGCATGTGGACGTCATTCTGCAAAGGAAAAAAGCAGGCCGTAACAGGTGCTTGCTCAATCCCGAACGACGATCCTTGCCTCTGCCACGATCCGCCCTCTCAGCACCACCACAGTCCTCCTCACCTGCGCGCTCGCCCTTGCAGTCCTAGGGTGAGAGGCTGGAGCCTCAGTGCCCAGCGAGTGCCGGGTGGGAGGTCAGGATGGGGCCAAGAAAGCCCCGCCAGCAAATGCCAAGAGGCATGTGGCGTCAGAGGGATGTTCAGGACTCGGGAAGGGACTTTCCTAAAGACACACCCCAGTCACTCATCGCTCATCATATGCCTCACATCTTGGCTGGGCTTTGAGAGGGCCCCGGGGCAGAATGAGCAACTCAGGGGAATTAAAAAAAAAAAGCACCCAGGAGTCTTTCAAAGTGCCAAGACTATGCAGATAAACAAATGGCAGCGCCAGCCACTAAACGCACTCTTCTTCCTGCCATCCCTCCCACAGTCCCAGCCCTGAATTCGGCATCCCTTGGAGGAGGAGGAGGAGGAGCAAGCTGGCATGCCTGAGGGAGCAGCTTCCCTGAATACCCTGAGGAAGCTCAAGGGGAGCGGGGGAATCTAAGGACCCTGCTGTGAAGGGGGTTTAAATCCCCGTTTAAAAACCCAAACTTCTCACACTGAAAATCACTCACACCTTTGGCTTTCCTGGACAGGTCCCCTTCTTGACAGCTGGCAAGAAATACCAAACTGGGGCAGGGTAGGAATGTCCTGGGGGACTCCTGCATATAACCAGCCCACCATATAGCCAGCCCCAACCCCTTGGCAGCAGGTACCCCTAATTCTCCCAGCTGAGGCTTCTAACCACTGCAGTTGAGCAACAGAAGGCATTAAAAATACCTTTCACAACACTTTTGGTGCAAAAAATAAAGTTTAGAGACCCATACAGAGCCCCCACCCCACCCCGGAAGGCATGAGGGCACTTTGCCGAGACTGCCTGTAGGGCACTAATAATGCATCTAGCCTTCCTGAGCCCCCACACCCATAAAAGGAGACTTAGCAAAAGCAGCACAGCAAGCTCAAAACAGCTCACAGTCGCAGTGGGGAGCAGAATGAAAAGCGATGTTTATTCCCGGCCCCACCCAGGAATAAATGTCCAAACTAGGAATCTCACAGGTGTGGGCATGGCCTAAAGACTCCTCACAGACCTCTCAGGAGCAGCGAGGCGAAGTAAGGGGATTAGGAGTGGCTCCCACCACCCAACGCTTCTCCTCTGCATACGCTGGGCTTTTTTTTCACCTAATCATGGCAAATACAGGTGTGCACCTGGCTGAGGAAGGGGGAAAGCAACAGGTAAATGGTTCAGCATCCCTCCCTGCCCAAACGTATCCCTCGCAAGTTTTTACTTATTACATTTCCTACATGGGTACTCACGCCTGTTGTTCTCTCAGATACTCAGTGCTGATCCAGCTTCCTGCCCAAGGTCTCCCAACATGCACCTGACTCGGCCATGACACAGATCTGGCCTACCTCAACACCGGAGTCATCACCCCAGACCTTGAAGTCATCCTTGCAGTCCCACCTCCAAACGAGGAAAGAGAAACCTGGCTTGGGAATCCCACCCCAGAGAGGCTCACCAACCACACGGCTGTGGGATTTTCAGTGCCAGGTGAAGATTCTTTCATATGTACTGCTTTCTGACTGTTGCACTCTCCTATGGTACATGTTTTAGTTTGGTGTTATGCGCTGTACCATTTTTCTCCTTTCCTACTGGCTTTCCTTTCATTCTAGTGCGTGCCGATTTTATTATTTTACTGCTTGTATGTTTAGATGCACCAAACGCTGCCTAAAAAACCTCCGCCATGTGACCAGCCCAAGCAATGAAATAAGCCGCATACAGGTGTGCTTCACAAGGGGTCCAGATGTGCCTAGAGCCAGTAGAAAATACAGAGCGACACACTGTGATAACGCTCAAGCACACGCACATATTCTGAGTCCCCCCTCACAGCAGTCTATTTAGGGATAAAATCGGCATCATGCAATGTGTGTGGGTCAGCATTTGTGTGTATACAAGCAGCAGGATGAACAAGCACCTTCACGTTTATGCACCACTGCAACGTACGCAAGGAGTTAGTGTACAGAAACACAGTGTGGGAGTCATTCCACAGTGCTAGCGAAGTGCGGTAGTAAAGTCAGAAAAATGCAGCTTGCGCATACCTGACCGCTTGCTCTCCCATGCTCAGCCACCGCACAGGACACCAGGTGCCACAGCACGCCAGCCATGGTTTTGCCCACACAGCACGCACCTGGAACAGGTTTGGCCAGGAAAGAAGGCCCACGATCCCCAGCACGCCCCAGGCGTCTAATGACACCGTATGTTTGGTCACTTGTACAATGCCCCAGCATCTGGTTACTGTGCCCCCTCCCAGGCCCCACTTAGCTTCAAAGCGCGCCTCTCACCTTCACATGCAAGACGGCACCTGACCCTCAGTCAGCCGGTGTTTGATGCTGATTAAGGCACATTTACAGCTGACCAAAGGAATTCGCCAGGACTTACATTGCCCATGGCCAGCTTAATGATTTTAAATGGGTCCATTGATTTTAATGGGTCCAATCAAATTTGGATCCAGCCCCTTGGATTAAGCGATCGCAATTTCAGAGAATACTGTTCAATGGCTGGAGCATGCTGGGCAGGTTATGACGATCAAAGCCTTCCAAATACATTATAAAAACCATGTCTGTATAAACATACAGCGCACAGAGACACACCGATTGTTCAACAATCCACAAGAAAAATTCAGGGCCTGGATAATGCCTCATCAAACCCAAATTTGATTTCCAGGGTGAATCTGGATTTTATGTGTACTATTTATATGGTTTGTTTATTTATTGTATGGAAGCCGTCCTGAGGCTCATGCGAATGGGACAGCATACAAACATTCTAAATAAATAAATAAAATGCCTGACAGAAGGAGGTCCTAACCTGACATAAAAATCACTATTACTATTATTATTCTCATTTTTATACCACCCCACAGCTGAAGCGCTCTGGGCGATGGACACAATCCATAATAGTTGGCCCTAGGCAGGCCTCAGCAGGGAGACCATTCCGTAACGGGGGCCACCACCAAGCATGCTGCCTTCAAGAGGCCGACACAAGTGCGTGCAATGCCTCCCAGGCAACACACTACTGAGATCCATCAGATAGGGGTCCAAGGGATGTACGGATGTACACACGTACGTTTCCCTTCGTGGGCATGGGACCCAACTTACCAGATACCCTCCCCCCCCGTGGAAGGAACCCATGCATGTGGGGCCCGTCTCCAGCACGGCACCAGACCTGCAGCAGCTGGGGGGCATCAGCAGTTCAGGGCAGTGGTCGCTCCAGTGCTGTCTGCATCATGCAAGTGCCTGAAGCCACAACTTCTCCCCGCATCTAAAAGTTCAGGGAATTTTCTTCCGGTTTTGTCTGCAGGACCACTCCATCACTGAGCCTCTGCCTGCGTTCCTCACCAGTTTAGTGAGAACCCAAAGCTGGCCTGTGATCAGCACACCTCAAGGCCCTATTACCCCTTTACACCGCTAAACTCATCCATCCATCCATCACACCACAAGCCCCACACGAGTTCCGAGGACACCATCACGTGTGGCATCCAGGACTTTCGCCTTGGTCAAGCGCAAAGCTCACCTGCCGATAATTTCACTGCCACACGCCATCAAGGTCCCTGCCTCGTCTATCAAGCCCAGTCAAATCTCATGTGCACACACAGCAGCAAAGCATCCAGGCCCGCTTCGATGTAAAGACCTCCGCATGGCACTTGGGGGGTCTTCCAGTTGGAAGCTCCTAGCACTCATGAAAAGTGGGAAAAGTGGTGCGAAAACCCACTGCTGGGAAGACACGCGAGGTTCACCAGTGGAAGGCAATTTGCCCCGCCCCCACCCGCAGCTTTCTGTGAATGCACAATAAAGGCCTTGTTCGGAAGCACCCGAAGAGACACAGCGGACTTCTCTGTAGCCTGAAATGCCTGATCCTGCCTGATCTTGGCAGCTAAGCAGGGTCAGGCCTGGTTGAAAGCTGGATGGGTGACTTAAATGTTGTGAACTGCCCAGACAGCTTTGGCTATGGACAGTGTAGAAATGTGATATAAATATTAATTTAGGAATGGAAGTTCAGATCTAGCTCAGAACCCAGTTCAATGCCAGAATGTGGAACCCAGTTCAATGCCAGACTTGCAGAGAACACGACGGGCCCACCTGGTCTGCACACAATGAAGAAGCGGCAGACCACCGCTGCTGCTCTGCCCTGGCCAGCCGCCCTCCCCAGCCTGGGTGTCCAGAGGGTCCCAGGTCTGGTGCCTGGAGCATCTCCAGACAGGGCTGGAAACACCCTCGCAGGCTGACCGAGCTTCCTAGGCAGCAGAGCGGCAGCTTCCTGCTTATTCCCATTCCTACTACATTTTTCAGCGAGCATTTAAGAACGCAAGGTATGCGGTTCTGCAGCAAGTTCCGGACGCTATCAAGTTATTCTTCAGTCAGTTTAAGGTACACGGCTATGCATGTTTAGACAGAAAAAAGCCCCGTGATTCCCAGTATATTCCAGTCAGCCAGGAGCATGCCTGGAGTTGCAGGGCTTCTTTTCTGCCTAAACCTGCACCGGGCTGCACCAAGAACATGTTTTAAAACGTGTTTCCTTTGGAAACTGCCTTGCATCGCTTAGGTTCAAGCCCTTAGCCAGGCATCTCCTCTCGTCCTGCAGGGAAAGCTGGCAGG